TTTTTAAGTGGATGATAAATATCACCCCCTAGATAGTAACAAAGCTCCTGAAAGTCTCTTAACAGTTGGAAACGCTAATAAGCATTTTTAATTCTCGTTCCTATAAATGCAATCAAAATGTACTGATTTTCCATGTCACCTATAAAACTTTGAGGTTCAGTAGCATCCTACTACTGAAGTTGGGCTTCCTCAAGAATAACTGAGAATTAATTTTAGAAGTCAACTAGTAATACAGCAAGATGAGGTGTATAAATGTCTGATGTGTCCTGAAGAGACTGACTCTCAATATAAACTTATTTTCTTTTTTTGATGCAGCCCCTTACCTTTTTTTTTTCTTCATGTCTTGAAAAATAAAACTATTTCTCAAGGTTGTTAAGATTTTATCAGCGCAATTAGGAATTATTTTAGATGCCAGCATTTTATTGGAAGTAAGGTGTACCTTAAAGCTACAACATGAGGCTGCAGACTTGGAGCCAAGACAGTTTTCTTTATAGGGTTGTTTGTGATCTGGTCATTCAGCTTCTTGTTTGCTTGCTGTGGTTGAAAGGGTTAGGGCTTGGATCTGTCACAGATATCTTTCCACTCTATTGTGTTTTGCAGAGAATGGGAACAATATGCCCCCTGAGGTAGCAGAAGTAGTTGCTTCATTTTATTGTCTGTAGGACAGCTGTCAATACTGATCCACAAAACCAGGCTTGTAAAGATACTAAAGATACCAAAAGTATTTTATTTCTTCCCACAGTAGGTTATTCTTGTGTTGGCCAGAGGAAAATTCTATGGTAGATACCTAAATAAAACTTTCTGAAAAATGTAATAACCTCATTGTCCTTAGTGAGAAATGTGTGGAATTTTGTAAGAGTAGGTATTGAACACGTTATTTATAGGAAATTGCTGTTGGATTTTACTAAGAAATAAGGTGATTGAAAAGTCCTTTGGCCCCTTGTCAAAATTTGATCATAATTAAGCAAACAATTGCTTAAAATCTAACTTGTAATTCTTGACACATTTTTAATTGAAAGTAGTTTAATTAAAGATAATTTTTCTAGTAAGCCCTCCTAGACTTGCAAAGAAACATTGGGAAACTATCCTGCCTTTAATTTCAAGAATATGCAGGGGCTTTGACCTTAGACTGAACTCTTCCTCTAGGTGTCGAAGGCTAAAGAAGTTTTATCCGGCAAGAAACTTTATCTAAGGAACCTTGTATTACTAGTAGTATAAATACTAATTTCTGTGGCTGTTTGTTTCTTTCCAAATGTGCACCTGACCTGTCTTCTCAAGGCCATGGGTGGCTCCAGTGCTGCTGCTGTTAACAGCTTTTCCAAGGGAAAAAGATGTAAACTAAACAATGCTATTTGCAGATATGACAGCATCGTTCAGACTGGTAGCCAGTAAATCTGTGGGTTTTTTTCCCCCTTCATGATGCTTGAAGGAAAAATCTCAATGCATAACTGCAGAATTAAGTCAGTCTTATGTATGTGCTCATGTACCCAGATGTGTGTGTGAAATGTGGTGCGGAGTGGAATAAAAATGGCTTGTTCTTGTTTGAAGAGCCTTTGTAGGCCACAAAGGGAGCTTTCTGGAAAGATGTTAACTTTGGTATATTTGTATCTGGGGACAACCTCAAATATTAAAAAGTAGAAAAAGCTTCTGAGCAAATGATAAGTTGCACTACTTCCATATTGATGAATGGCAGCTTCATATATGACTTGATCTTTTAGGTAATAATAAAAAAAAACCCACAAACCCATCCACTTGCCACATACAGAGCTGGGAATGCTATTAATTGTCAGTATAAAGATGTTTAAGCTAATAACCTAAAAAAGCATAAGCATGACAGAAATCTTTCCAACACTAAAGTCTTATCATTCTTTCCCTTCTCTTTGTTCTTACTGCACGTAGATACCCATAGGTAATAATGTTAACAATATTTTGAGTTGGTGAAGTTCAAATGCCGTCAGTCGTCCACTCGTATTTCAAAGATACTTAATGGTCTCTGTTAAGTTACTCTAGACTGTAGCATCTTTGTATTCTCATGTGTTCCTAGTTCCTGGGGTGCTAGGCTGTATGTATTTCTCAGTTCCTGCAGTCACCTTGAATTTTCCTAAATCAGTGCTGGGTAACATTATTTGGGGTACTAGGCTTGGCACCAGCACTCAGCAGGGCTGCAGACTGATGTTGGCCCCACTCCTTAATCACAAGCAGCATTTTCCATTTCTAGAGACTTGGGAATTAAGTTTTTACAACATTTCTAAAATAGAAGTGTTGCATGAAAAATAGAGCATTTGTGAGTATGGTCTAAGAGCAGCATTGCAACGGGGACCTCAGCTGATGGTAGCACAAGATAGTTCTTCTGTCTCAGTTGTCAGTGCTTAGTAGGGTGAGTACCTTCACAGCTCTTCATCAGGTTTCTCCATCTTTTGTGAGTGAATGCAGTTCTTCACAGATGAGAAACTAACTCATATCAGCAGTTGGTGTCAAAACCAAGATCTCACCTCAGGCTGCCTTTGAACTGTTTTCACTGTTCCTGATTGGACTGTTTGGGCATGCAGAAAGAATGAAAATAACATATTACTTGGTTTGCAATCTAACTAATGGATATTTGATGTTCCCAAGTCTTGTGAATTTGAAATGGGTGTATTAGTAAAACCTAGGTGAGGTGATAGCAATAGATGAATAGAGAAGATAGTGAAAGCAGGAAAATGGAGAGCAAGCAAAGAAAGTAGAAAGACTGAGCATCTACAGAAAGGACAAAGGTATTAAAAATTATAGCCCCAGTCAGTAGGTTGAGCAGGGAGCACCCTGTCCAGGTCTGGAAAGGCTGGTGAGTTTGTGGGTGTTGTTGTGGGGGTTTATTGTGGGGTTTTTGTGAAGTAGAAAATCTTCTCACAGTTCTCAGAAGCACTATACATGACTTGTTTCCATTTTTCTTAGTCATTGCTCAGCTGTTTTTCTTATCCTTCTCCAACTTCGGGCTTGCCAGTTATCCCAGATACAGTGGGAGCAGTGCTTAGCTGGTTCAACTGGGTTTTATCAGTCTTCATCATATCCAGAAGCAGTTGGTGTCTCTGCCCCTTGTACGGAGCTCAAGCAGTGAGTCTCAAGAACTCAAAACTATTGAAATCTGGTTCTTTGTTAGCCAAGTGGCTCAAGCTGGGCTGTGCAAAAGTGCCTCTGGAGTTCTGCTGGAGTGCTGTACCTGCATAATGTTGCCAGGACCAATGCAATGAATGAGCCAGTCAGGGTAACTTCTTTGTTGTTAATTGCAGATAGAACTGAGGCAGCCTATTACAATTACAATGTGAATTGCAACTTTTGTAGTCATTTATTGGATTTCTGTCGCACCTTTTCCTGAACAGGAGCTACTTAAAGCTTTTTCTTTTAGAAGTTTACTTGTGGAGATAATTCTTCACTGTTGATGCGATGTTGAGCTCTTGCCAAAACTAAGACAGAATGAGAGCATCAGAAATAGGGAAGAAAATCAGTATTCATTAACCGTTTAGCAAGCAAAACCTTCTGTTTTGTTTCAGAAATAGCTTTGTGGTTGTAAATTGTTACTGTTTAAATACATATTTGGTTTACTTTAAAAAAGCTGGAAAGAAGTTGTCTAATTCTGGGATAGACTTAAGTCAATTAGTAATGCAAAGGAGTAACATTTGGTACTGAATAGAGGCAGAAAGAAATCTATTTGTATGAAATATATCCCAGTGAAGTTGGACTGAATCTTTGAGGAGAAGTGAACTCTAAAAGAGAAATGAGGAGTGATGTAGCACATCCAAACCAATGAAATCAGAGCACAGAATGTGGAGGAAAAAGCCACCTTCCTGGGGTCATAAGAACTCGCTTTTTATGCCTAGTTGCAAATTCTGATGTAATGAAATTGGATAAAGTTTGCAGAGGTATTGATTTTGAAAGTAAACTGTCCAGCTGCTGTTCTCTGTTGTAATACAGGACTGGATTAAAAGTTAGGATTACTTTATGTTTTAGTGGCTGAGTTACTGTAACTGAGACAAATTAAGAGTAAAGTAGATGTTCTAAGGAATAACACTCCCATATTGCAGGGATGTCCTGCTTCTGTTTTTTAATTAGTGGATTGTTTGCTTATGAGAGCAGAGAGTGTGGAGCAAAACACTAAGCACTCTCTGGAAAGGCAGAAAATGTAGCAGCAGGGTAGCAGGAGGCTTCATGCTGTTCACTGTGTATTTCCTGCTGCCTTTCTGCCTGTATTCAAGCCTTTGGCTGTGCTAGTTTTTTCTCCCTCACTCCATGTTTCCCTTTTCAAATGTTTACTTGTCATGGCACATTAAGTAGTGCAAGTGTCTACTTTTTAAAGCAGAAATGCAGGTATGTAAATATTGTAATAAAGTTACTTTAAATCTACTTCCTTTAGAGACTACCTTGTTTATTTCTGCAGTGCTACTGTTCACTAAAGAAATTGGCCTGCACTAAAACTTGGAGTCTGTTCAATGAGACCTTTATGCATATAATACAGTAGCACAGGTACTGTAATCTATAGCTGGGCATTCATGAATTACTGGTAATCTTCATACACTTAGAATGAGCAAGAGGAGAGCATTCACAAAAAAAGTGGGAAGTATCTATGTTAGACTATAAATACAGCTGATCCTAGTGGAAAGCTGGATGTGGGCCTTGGACCAGCTTCATTTGCTGTACACTTAATGAGCAATCAAGATAGCCTACATCAGAAATGCTTCTTGTAGTACTTCCTTTTAAACTTCTTTATAACTTAGTTCTGAGATATATAACGATTAAAAATCTATTTTGCCTGTTCTTCCCATTGCTCCCCTTTCCTTGGAGCACAGGAAGTTTAGATGTGACATATAAAGACAGGAAGTGTGTAACAAATGAGCCAGCCCTACTTCTCTATATCTATTCAATATGAATATGAATTTTGGGTGTAAGTTTCTATATGTAGTATTATACAGTTGTTCAGTACAGCTGTTGACAGTAAAGTCTAATTTTTGGGTTTTTTTTCTCCTTAGAGCACAACAATGGAAGAAACAGCTATATGGGAACAACACACAGTGACTCTTCACAGGGTAAGTTCATACAATTGGTTGTGTGTGCCTAATGCAGGATACTGGCAGCTTTTAAAAACAATAGGAAAAAGCCAGATGTCAGGAAGTAAAAGAAAAGGAAACTGTCATATTCCTTTGTTCAAATTTAGAAGTGTTGTAAAAGTTCCATGTGATAGTAGCTCTGTTTGTTTGTCGAGTTTTAGAGATAAACCTGCCTACAAATAACCATGCCAGCAACAAAGTTTTAGATTACTTCTGTGTGTAACTGAGACTAGTTAGAAATCTGTGTAAACTAACAGTTGTGCTGTAACTGTACTTAAATGTTTGAAAATTTATTTGCCAGGGCATAAAATGATACAGTTAAGGATAACTAAATGTGTTGAAAACTATCTTATTTGCTTGCTATTTTTTTCAAGTAGCAGCTGGAAATAGTGATTTTTAGGGGGTCAGAATGTGCACCTTAAACAAATTGTACTAGGAATCAGTTAATTGAAAAACAGCTTTTGTATTTAGACTGACTTCTCCTATTTGAGTTACTGTAAGTGAAATTGATTTCTAGTGTAGCTATTTTTAAGCTGTACAAGAGAGGCAATAAGGAATAAATGCTTAGGGAAAGTTGGAACAAGGTGGTATGTTGTTTCTGGCCACAGGTTGGTGTTAAAGTGACCATGGAATAGCAATTGCCCAAATAGCAATTCATCCCAACAAAAGGGAGATGCACAAGAGTTTTCTCTGGGGAGCAAGTTAATCATTTGCCTTCAATTCTTCAGCAAAGAATCAAGGCATTCTAGAATTGTAGCATTGATCAGATAAATGGACCTTTGTGACTAAAAATGTGTACTAAGAGATCAGCTGATCAGATAAAATGTTAATTCTGTGTACACACTTAGTATCTGTGGCTTGGAGTGAGTTTAGTGTTGCAGACCTGAAATACCCATTTTAGTCCCTGGCCTCTTAAGAGAGCAGATGCACCAGTTTGACCCAGGAGGCTGTCTAACGAAGTACATTGTCTCTAGGTGCAATCACATGTTGAAAAAAAAAAAAAAAAAGTAAAAAGGAAAATAGGTGATTATACTTCTCTAGGCTACTCATGAGGTTTCCAAAATTTTATGTCAGCAATTTCTTGAGCAAGAATTATTATTGTTACATGTAATTGTCCTTTATATTTTCCTCTTGAAAAGCTGTCCAGTCATCCCTGAAACCTGTGTGAACTTAAATTTTTTTACTCATATTTCTGATGAAATCAATACTGTCTGATATTCAAAACCAAATAAAAATGCTATAAAAGTAAAAGTTTGGCTAAAAGGTTGGCTTCTAGGCTTGGTGATAGCTTAGTTTCTCTTGAGGGGGATATTTTTCTGCTTAATTGAAGAAGTAACTTCAATGACGCCTGAAAATGACAAGTTTGGTCAGCGCAGGAAGGAATAATGAATTGCTGCAATATGGTGTTAGCTCGAACAAGTTTTGAAATACTAGGAAAGAGAAATCAGATTTGGCTGCACTTGTAGCATTGTCAGAAGTCTTTGTGTGGTATAGAAGTGAAAGTATGATTATTATTTTGGTTATGATATCTTATGTGCCAGACTAATGCCAGTTGCACTGGCTTAACTGTTTTATCAGGTAAGTATCTCTCATGTAGATGTTGAAGGCTGATGGCACGTATTGTTGATAACATTGACAGCATTATTTGTTTTTAATTGGCTAAATTAATTTTTTCCATCTGCCAGATAACCAAAACTCTTATGCTAATGTTAAATGAATTGATACTTAGAATTTATCCTTAGCACTGGGAAGAGGATTTAGGAAAGCAACTGCTTATTTGCTTGGGAGGTTTTTATTTTGTGTTTTATTAGTGTAATTGTTGTAGCATTAGATTATCAAATAAATGAGGTTACTTCAGTTTAGTCATCAGAAGTGAAATGCATCCAGATCTCAGTTATCTGCAAAGATATCTAAAAGTCAATATGATGGGAATAGACTGGAAATGCCACTCTGAGTGGTTGTGAAGTATTTTCTGTGTGAGTTTATCAGCTCCACTTGGCTGAGCTACAGAACTGCTAGAGATCATCTACTGTCAGCCACAGAAAAAATCATTTTGAAGATCTGCACTTGCTTTTTCTAGTGAGATTGCTTTCCAGAGATGTCATTACAAATTAGGGACAGGATGTGCTTAATCCCAGTAGCTGCAGTATGCCTCAGTCTGTTCAGGCACCTTGATGCTGTGCTTGAGATATCTTTGAGAATCTAGAACAGAACCAATGAGGAGTCTTGACTCTACTGTTACTTAACACAGTAGTTCTTGAGTTCCAGCACTATTGTCAAAAGACTCATTAGAAACAGTTCTGGTTGAGGGGAGCCTTGAGCTTCTAACCAAGAGGTTTGGTTCCCTTTCTTGACTACCCTTCCAACTTCCTGAACTGCTGTTCAGCTCTTAAATGCTTGAACCAGTCTCAAGTTCAGTTAAAGCTTATCAGATAGCAACAGTTTATCTTTTATATACTTCTCCGTTTTTATATATTTAGCAGTAAAGAGCTTTAAGGATGAACAATGCATTTTGTATGTTATGTAGGTTTCTTCATCCTTGGAACTCAGGTTTTGTGTGGCTGTGTTAAATGTGTCTTCCCCCAAGGAAGAGAAACCAAGTATGTGTGTACTTTCCTGCTTCTCCCATGCTGCCTTCCTGTGGGAGAGCAAAATAGTACAAGGGTTTTTTTCTTATGTTGTCAGCACAAGCTCTAACGAGTGACTGTGATGTGGCAGATTTTTAAAATGCAGTTTTAGTTAAATGTATCTTGTGTAATATGTAATGATCAATATCTTGCTATTTCTTGACATATCTAGGAGCTAGGTTTTTTCTGAGGGTAGTACAGTTTATCTTTTAAGACGATGGTAGACAGCAGGATAAAAAGATAAGTAATAGGCTGAGGCTTACTGGAAGGTTTCTTATTTGAGCTATTTAATTTTCAAAAAGATTTAGTGTTTCATTTGAACTTTCTAATATGGAACATTTCTTAACACTAATTCATTTAATAAAAAACTTAAAGCTTTTACCTGACTTGTGATCTTTTTTGACTGCTGTCTGTATATAATGCATTGTTCTAGGGCTTCTCAAAGAATATTGAAGCATGAAACTAGTCATCTTAATATTGGTGGGTTTGGTTTGCAAATAATTAGAAAGTCAAGCAGCAAGATAAGGTTTACAGCTGTATCTCTGCTGTCTTTGGCCTGTTATATTTCTTCTTATGAGTGGAAAACTGTTAGAAATTTTTTTTGTTTATGGTGTAAGGAAAGGTAGAGAACATTTATATGAAATTTTACATAAATGTCCTAGTAATTGTTTCCTCCCTTTCCTTCCCCACCAAAATATAGAGCCAACTGAATTCAGTTTATTAAAGCTTATTAGAGTAATGGAAAACTGAAAGATGAAGTAGTGTCATTAGAGAGGAGAAAACACTACTGTTTTGAAAGGGGGTTTTGTTACATCTTTTCATAGGCTTGTATATATTTTGTTTACAATATAAAAAAATGAAACTGAAAGAAAACCTCAGCTCTGTTCATAAGTAGTAATTGTAATTCTTTAGACTATCCTCCTTCATGGCATGGGGTTTCACTTAGTAATGGTTGAATCCCATCCATGATTACTGGTTGTTCCAGCTGGAATGTATTTAGAAGAGTTCAAGTCATCCTTTAATTAATTAAAATTAATGTAACAGATGCAGTAAGGTGTACCCCTCTCCACTGCCCCATACCTGTTAGACCAACTTATTTCTTCATACCCTGTGAACTGTTGAAATCAATTTCTGAACAGTCAATTTCTCCACATCCTCGTTTTAATACTGCATGGTCCTATTCACTGCTTACAGGCTAAATCTCTTCCATCTTTTCATGACCTCTGTTTTGGAGGGCAATAGGAAACAAGTTTTTTGAGCAGTAGTTACTGTCTGAAAAGCTGAACGTCACATGTCTTACAGCCACATGCAGGCTGCCATGTTGCTTCAGCTGTCAATATAAGACTATGAAACTTCTTGCTATAGCAGGGTCATGTTGGCTGAAAAGTCTGAAACAGAGAAGTCTGCCAGCTTGGAGTGTATGCTGTAGGAAATGGAGAGGAGGAATTGATTGAAACCCCTTCTTTTCCATCCAGTGACTGTGTTTTGCATAGTAAAAAATTCCAAAGTAAATTCAAGAGCAATATGAAGTATTTAAATGGTAGTACTCTTTGGACAATGTTTTCTGGGCAATGATGAAAGAGCCAGGTAGTTTGCAAATCAGTTATATTTAGAAAGTTTATTTCCCACTCACTGCTTCCAGGCAGAAGTGTAAGCAACATTGTTGTGTCTTGAAATATCTAACAGGAATAACTTATCAGAGGCGCTGACCTTACTATAGTGGCAGGTCACCCTAGAGGGAAAAGATTGAAGAGTACTACTTTTGTTAAGATGCAGATGATTTGCAAATGCTGACAAGGTTTTGATGTATGTAATGGTACAAGTGATCTTGGTATTGTTGCTAAGAACTGAGCCTGCAGTCATAGGAGCGTGCGCTGCAATCCTGTCAGCTCCTGAGCGAGGCTGGGTCAGGCTGGGTAAATACCAGAATGTGAAACCTCAAAGAAAGTGTTGCAGGGAGTGATACAGGTTTGAATCAGTAGCTCAACAATGTGATGTGTTATGTTATGAGGTCTTCCTGATGACCACTTGAGGCCCAGACTATGAAAATGCAAATAGGAACTCTAGGATTTTGCTATTGGGAGAGACTGGCTAGTTTGAAACACTCTGCCTTCTGGAAGTTTGTTTTTTTTTCTAATATATTTTTAATCTCTCTCCTCTTCTTAAATTGCATAGCATTGCATGGTTTGTTGATCCTTCTTTATTTCAAAAAATTGTATTAATCCTATAGGATTTTTTGTGTTCCACACAGGAATGTGAATTTTGACCTTGTAAATATGTGAAAGTAAAAATCTTTCTCTTGTTACACTGTAGGCCCCTGGATTTGGATTTGGTATTGCAATATCTGGAGGAAGAGATAATCCTCACTTTCAGAGTGGTGAGACATCCATAGTTATTTCTGATGTTCTGAAAGGAGGCCCAGCAGAAGGATTGCTACAGTAAGTGCCAGACTACAACCAGATTCTTATTTGGGGGGCTTTCACCTTAGTCAGTGATAGCTTATCCTTCTAATTGTTTTGCTACCTATCTGTAACTGTGTAGTGGGTTTATAATACAGGTAATTTGTTCAGGGACACTCATTACCCCCAGTATTTTTCCCTTGGCATAAAGTATTTACACTGTGCATTGCGATGTTTTCCATTTAGAGAAAATGACCGTGTTGCAATGGTTAATGGAGTTTCAATGGATAATGTCGAGCATGCATTTGCTGTTCAGCAGCTGAGGAAAAGTGGGAAGAATGCCAAAATTGTAAGTGAATGTCTTGAAGATTTCAGCTTGCTTAACTTCTGTATTTCTAGAGCAAAAGTGAAAGTGTCATGTCTGCTATTATGAATACATGTGTGATGCAAGGTATGTGAACAATACCTGTGTGATCCTTCAGGTTTAAGTCATGATCATCAGAAGTTTATCACAGGGGTCAAAGGTTTTTGTAAAATGTGAATGATGTTTGGGTAGTGTCACCAGATACTTTAGACTTCTTTTTTAATGGTAAAGTTCTTTGCAGTTTGCCAAAAGTTCTGTTCTTAGCTTTAATATTTCTTTGCTTTTTTAATTGCACTTAACAGGTTTTTCAAAAGCTTGTCTATGCTAAAGGACTTGACCTGCTTTTCAGGCACTAACATATTTCTTTTTATGCTCAGTAAACAGTTTGCCAAAATAAAATATAATTTAATTACCTTAATTCCTATAATTTTGTAGGTTTATTCAAAGTGGTTAGTTTCTGTACTTTGCAAAACAGAGCAGATCATCACTGAAGGGTAGTAATCTTGCTTTCTCTAGAAGTTTGAGATCTGTATAACAAAAAATAGAACACAAATGCACAAGGTTTAACAGTTTTTTAATTCAGGAGAACAGACTTCTAGGATTTGTAGAAAATCTTTGGTGCTGACAGATTTCCAGTGCTCCTAGTGCTTTAATACAATTGTAAAACCTTGTATTGTGTTTTGCATCTGAAGATTCAGCAGTTCTTTAAAGATTATACAGAGCAAAGCATGGTGAGGTGTGCAGGGCTTTCAGTATCTTAAGTATTTGTGTAGGGAAAAACAATTAATTAATTATGAAAGTAATGGTGTGACTTGGTTTAGCTTTGTAACACACAGCAGATAAACATCTGAATAAGGATGGGTCTTATTCTGGAAACAGCTGTCTAAGTTAGTGGAAACCAGCTTAGGAATGTTCCTCTTCCTCTGTGGCTTGCATCATAAACATTGCTTTGGAAGATTGGAAGGCTTCAAAGATGAGGAGAATTACTGTCAATAACACACTGAGAATGTAGAAGATTACATGTTAGCAAAAGAAGTTCTTAGCAGTGCCAGTATCTGATTTGTGGGTTTAAGCAAAGAGAGCGGATGTCCAAATATGCATCTCTGAAGACAGAACACTGTGTTGTGCTACATGGGCTCTTGTTCTTACATTTGCTACTTCTGCAGAAGCAAAAAAGGACTAAAAGAATTGTAAAAACAAAACTGATTTCTAGTAATCTATAGTGAGTGATGAGTCTCCTGTGTTAGTTGGATAGAGTTATAGAACGAGAATGCAAGAACACAGAGCATTCACAATACTTCTGTGTGTTCTCTTTTGAGTTTTGGGATTAGCTTTGGCTTCTGACATAAGTAACACCACGAGCATTACACAGCCAGTGGCTGACACCTCGTGTTTGCTTGTAGACTATCCGAAGGATGAAGAAAATTCAGATTCCAGTGGCCCGACCAGAACCTGAACCAGTGTCCGAAAATGAGGATGATAGCTATGATGAAGAGCTACGTGACCCAAGAAGCAGCCGTGGTGGTCCAAGTGCCAACAGAAGGCATGAGAAGAGCTGGGTAAGAGACCGAAGTGCTAGCAGAGAGAGAAGCTTATCGCCGAGGTCAGACAGAAGGTCGGTTACTTCCAGTCAGCCTGCAAAGCCTACCAAAGTGACACTGGTGAAATCCAGGAAGAATGAAGGTAACTTGTGTCTAGTTCTTTACTGAAGACTTTTACTGCTTTTCAAAGGCCATTTGCTTCAGTCAGTGTTGTGTTAAGGGCTTAATGGAACAAAAAATTAAAAACTGCTGTTGTCTTTCTGGTGGTTTGTTTCATATTCCAAAATACATGTGCCTAGTAAGGGCGAAGTATTATACAGAGTAAACCCATCTCAGCTGTGCATCTGACATCTGGTAGTCAGTGGCTACATACCTTCCATATACTTGAGTTGAGTCTTCAGAGTCTACCCTGTTCCAAAGAGGGAAAATTGTAGTAGCATGTAAGTTAAGCCATTGAACAACAGCTATGATTGCAGTCAGAGTTAGAAAACCCCTAGCATAATTCCATTACAGTCTGTCATGTGCCAAGTTCACTTGATTTTGTGCTTCCAGTGTAAATGTGTAAAGCAGTGTTGTTAATATTCAGATACCTCACTCCTGTTTTTACAGTAGCTTCATCAGTTTTCTCTTTTATTGCTGTTATACAGAGTATGGTCTACGGTTGGCAAGCCACATATTTGTGAAAGAAATATCACAGGATAGCCTGGCAGCAAGAGATGGCAATATTCAGGAAGGAGATGTTGTACTGAAGGTATAGTAAATGTTGATGGTGTTTGTTCAGAGTTTGATCTCACTGTTCTTAGAAATAACTATATTTTAATAGCTTAATTATTGTTAGTAGGAGAGGTATCTTTTTTTTATTACATTATTTCAAAGACCAATGAATTGAAGTATAAATCAACCTCTCTAAGGAAAGGAAAAATATAAAGCTCTTCTTTTATATTATTCTCCAGACCTTATTTTGACAAACAATGCCCACTGTTAATGCCTAATAAAAAGCATTTGAGATTGTATGAGACTTTGGGCCTGCGTACTTAGTTATACAATATAATGTGGAATTGTGCTGTTAAGCAATGCTAGAACTTGCCTTCAGGTTAAATTTTTATTTTTGTAGGAATCAATGTACCCAAGGCTTTTAAATTCATACTAAATTTTTATTTCAAGATACTTCTGTAAATGTGTTGGTGCAGAAAAACATACAGTTCCTTACTCTGCTGAGTTAGAGCAGTGCTGGTTCAAAAAACATTATTAATATTATCAAAGTTTTATTTCACTGATAGAGACTTTGTATTTGAAAGGTGAAAATAATTTTCTGTATTATGCTAGAGTTTGGGTGTGCCCAGTAGTCTTCTGTTGTATTGTGGTGATTTGATACATATCTCTAGCTCTTTCTAAATATCTTCTGGCAGAAAACTACTATCTTTACTGGAAATTCACAGTTTGTTTTTTTTTCAGTAAGTTTGTATCTGATCTTTTCTTGCTGTGTTCCAGATAAATGGCACAGTGACAGAAAATATGTCCTTAGCAGATGCAAAAACACTAATAGAAAGGTCAAAAGGCAAGTTGAAGATGGTTGTTCAGCGAGATGAACGAGCTACACTGTTGAATGTCCCTGATCTTTCTGACAGTATTCATTCTGCTAATGCCTCAGAAAGAGATGGTGAGTATAAATAAACTTGATTCCTAAAGGGTGAAAAGAATTCCCTGTGCTGTGGAAATGTAAAATAGCTAAGTGGGATGGGAGGTTGGGGAGTAGAATTAGGACTAGGATTGTCCTGTGGGTAAATTCTTGTTTGAATGTGATTTGAAATCCACACCTTCAAAAACAGTGGAGAAAAAGATAGTTATTATTCTTGCAATAGTTCTTTTAGGAATGTTAAGTTTAGTTGTCGTGAAATAATAAACCTAGATCTAACATCTTCATTAAAATTCTCTGCAAAAGCTTAATTCCATTTGAGCAGGTCATGCCACCATTTTAATTACAATCATTTCATGAAAAAACAACTTTTATTTAACAGACATTTCAGAAATTCAGTCGCTGGCATCAGATCATTCCAACCGATCACATGACAGGCCCCGCCGCAGTCGTTCACGATCTCCTGACCAGAGGTCAGAGCCTTCAGACCATTCCAGACATTCTCCACAGCAGCCCAGCAACGGCAGGTGATGGCAGCATTGTATTATTTTTAAATCAACTGTTTAATGTTACATATAAGTTGTAGGAGTGCTTGAATGTATAGAGTGTGACGAGTGTGGTGCAGAGCTGGGGTAGCAGTAACACGGGCTGCTTGCAAGGGATGCAACTGGTAACGATCCCGATTTTCATAGATTTCAGATATTGAACTGAAGTTAAAACTTCAGTGTTACTGCTTTCTTAAAGAGTCTTAGAGCATGGTTGTATGAATGACAATGTAAATCTAATTGTGTTATGTGTTATTGAATCATATGCAATTATATTTTGGTTTTAGAAGCAGTTAGCTACAAGAGTATTTGAGGTGATAAGTAGCACGGTTGCTACTGACTTTCCCAACTGGGTAAACTTGTTTAAATCTTGCTTTATTTAGGCATAGGCTTTTTATTTTCCTCACTGTCCTTGAGAAATTATGTTTTTGAATACATTTAATTCCTACAAAAGAAGATGTATTGCATAGCAGATTTGGCTTTTGGAATGTAACTTATAATACTTGAACTTGGTAGTGAGGCGTGCATGATCATTCAGAAGTAGGTAAGCCTAACCTCATGAGTTCAGAGAAGTAATGTATTGTATGGTTTGGAATATTTTTTTTCTGCCATGTGAAACTTTAGGCTTCAATAACATAAATCTGTCCTGTTTTGGCATTTTCCTATTTTAATTTATGGAAAAAGGGTTTCAGTGTTGGATTTTAATTTCTAAATATCTGTAAGAGAAAAGTTTAGCCTATGAATGTTCATAGATGATGGAGCAAAAAATTGAAAGCCTGTATTTGAAGATTTTTTTACATGCTGTCAAAAATTCTGAAAAACAAATTGCAGCTGGCTCTTCCATAAAAGTAAGATATGCTTGGTTATTAATAACATTTTGTTTGCTCAAAGGGAAAAAAACCCCATACCTTCAAGGTTTTTAGAGTCTTTTAAGGGTTTATAAAACTGCAAGACAGATCTTACCTGCATGTACAGCTGGTTGGGGTTACGGGTTTACAGACACTTCTGCTCTCTTCCATGTATGTTTCTTGCAGGGACCACAACACATGAAAGCTTGTTTTCAAGTAGGAACTCCACTTTAGTGGGAAAAACTCACAAGTAGAGTCCTGAATGCAGGGATTTGATTGTGAAGGTTGTGAGATCTCTGTCAGATAAAAAAACCTTTATTTCTTGACACACCTTTCTAAATGCAGTGTGAAAAGGGCTTGTGGAAGGAGGGGAAAAAACAAAAACCCATTAAAACTGAAACTGTGACTGACTTAGCCTAGTGTTAGGGCTTTCCTGTGCTATTAAGAGTGGCTTAGGTAGATGGTCACTTCCTCCCCATGGACACCACTGTCAGAAGAATTAAATCCTTCCTGAGAAGGACCTTTGAAGTTATCTCAACTCTGAATGCATCCGCTGTATCTACTTTATGAACAAGAGCTACCTTGGCATGGACTGACTTCCTGTTGGACATGTCTCTCTCAAGATCCGAAAATCTGGGCCCTGAGCCACATAAAGACAAACATGTTGAAACTAACTTCTCTTTGTAGTGGCTATTTGTGCGGGTTTAAATCTATGGTAAGACTGAATTAGTTGCAACTGCTTAATTTTTAAAAATTTGGTAAAAAAACTAGGGTGGGGGAAAAAACTTGAGAATAACAACCTGGGGTGAGAAAGGTGCAAAAAGTAGTCTAACTGAGCTTAAGGAGGACATTGAAAATGTATCTAAGATAATGTCTTCATTTAGACCCTGTTCTGCCAAATGTTTTTATGGTCATGTTCAAGAGGAATCCTCTTAGTGCTTTCATACAAGCTTAACTACAGACTGACACTCCTAAATATGCAGAGCACAGAAATCTGCCAACAGACTTCTGATTCAGTATTGCTTTGGGGTCTGGCAGCATCTTCAGTGTTGTCCATCTTTCAGTATTCCATACTGGTATGTACACCAGTGTGCCTGCAGAGTTCCTGGATATGGAATTTCCATAACAATTGCTATTTGAATATTCTGTCAATGCATTAAATAGCACTTGTAGTTTTATTTAATCCAAAGGAAGTTTAGAGATGTCTCTTGAACAGTCTTTTTAAAACTCAGATTCTATAATGTATTCTTCTTGATTTACTAATAAAAAGGACTAAGTATGGTTCTATATGTTTTCCACTTGTTAATCTTGAAAAGAATCCAGAGAATGCATCTTATAAATCTCCAAGGCTATGATTATTTCACTGTATCTGGGTACTTGGAAAATTCATAGCCAGCTGATACTGAATTAGGTACTAAGTGAAACATAAGATACAAATATGTCTTGGCTCTGTGGAAGAGCTCTCTGAGTAGATAATGTTTTAAAGGTTAAATATAATTTTTAAAAGATGCATATAGTTCTGAAGATACACAGAACAACAACTGTTCAGGCAGACGAACAATGCATCTTAGAAGTCAGATAACATAAGGCGACTTTGTATAATCTCTAGAGAGCTGTACTTGAAAAGCTGGAATGAGCACAAGAGGTCACTGCATCTGAAGTTAGAGAGTATCATATATACTGTTTCTTACCTATCTGGTCTTACTGCTGGCAGTAACAAGTTGTTGTGCTAGATAAATAAGCTTTTGGTGTGACCCATCCTGAAAAGTGGCATTTGCAGCCAGGTGCTGGGAAGCCTGCCAAATACATCTCAGGCTACCCTTTACCAATTGAAAGAACTCCTACTTGAAAACTCTCTCCTATGCTGCCTTCCTCACCTGGATACTGGAATAGCAGAAATCTTTTCTGGTATGTTTAACACTTCAGCCTCAGCAAGAAAGATGGTAGTAGCTTGAAGAACTTGTTGTAGAGCTCATCATTATTTCTGGAAGGAAGAGGTTGTCAGTTTTTATATCTTGAGAAATAATGTTCTGTCTGTTTTCAAAAGAAATTGAAACCCTGTATTATAGGGTAAAATCAACCCTGTTTTGAATGTACTTAGGAAGATGCCTCTTTGCTCTTACTGTTTTCTTACAGAGTCATAGAAATGTTTGGGTTGGAAGGGACCTTAAAGGCCATCTAGTTCCACCTCCCTGCCATGGGCTGAGGCATCTCCCGCTAGACTAGGTTGCTCAGAGCCAGAATTAAATCCTTCCTGAGAAGGACCTTTGAAGTTATCTCAACTCTGAATGCATCCGCTGTATCTACTTTATGAACAAGAGCTACCTTGGCATGGACTGACTTCCTGTTGGACATGTCTCTCTCAAGATCCGAAAATCTGGGCCCTGAGCCACATAAAGACAAACATGTTGAAACTAACTTCTCTTTGTAGTGGCTATTTGTGCGGGTTTAAATCTATGGTAAGACTGAATTAGTTGCAACTGCTTAATTTTTAAAAATTTGGTAAAAAAACTAGGGTGGGGGAAAAAACTTGAGAATAACAACCTGGGGTGAGAAAGGTGCAAAAAGTAGTCTAACTGAGCTTAAGGAGGACATTGAAAATGTATCTAAGATAATGTCTTCATTTAGACCCTGTTCTGCCAAATGTTTTTATGGTCATGTTCAAGAGGAATCCTCTTAGTGCTTTCATACAAGCTTAACTACAGACTGACACTCCTAAATATGCAGAGCACAGAAATCTGCCAACAGACTTCTGATTCAGTATTGCTTTGGGGTCTGGCAGCATCTTCAGTGTTGTCCATCTTTCAGTATTCCATACTGGTATGTACACCAGTGTGCCTGCAGAGTTCCTGGATATGGAATTTCCATAACAATTGCTATTTGAATATTCTGTCAATGCATTAAATAGCACTTGTAGTTTTATTTAATCCAAAGGAAGTTTAGAGATGTCTCTTGAACAGTCTTTTTAAAACTCAGATTCTATAATGTATTCTTCTTGATTTACTAATAAAAAGGACTAAGTATGGTTCTATATGTTTTCCACTTGTTAATCTTGAAAAGAATCCAGAGAATGCATCTTATAAATCTCCAAGGCTATGATTATTTCACTGTATCTGGGTACTTGGAAAATTCATAGCCAGCTGATACTGAATTAGGTACTAAGTGAAACATAAGATACAAATATGTCTTGGCTCTGTGGAAGAGCTCTCTGAGTAGATAATGTTTTAAAGGTTAAATATAATTTTTAAAAGATGCATATAGTTCTGAAGATACACAGAACAACAACTGTTCAGGCAGACGAACAATGCATCTTAGAAGTCAGATAACATAAGGCGACTTTGTATAATCTCTAGAGAGCTGTACTTGAAAAGCTGGAATGAGCACAAGAGGTCACTGCATCTGAAGTTAGAGAGTATCATATATACTGTTTCTTACCTATCTGGTCTTACTGCTGGCAGTAACAAGTTGTTGTGCTAGATAAATAAGCTTTTGGTGTGACCCATCCTGAAAAGTGGCATTTGCAGCCAGGTGCTGGGAAGCCTGCCAAATACATCTCAGGCTACCCTTTACCAATTGAAAGAACTCCTACTTGAAAACTCTCTCCTATGCTGCCTTCCTCACCTGGATACTGGAATAGCAGAAATCTTTTCTGGTATGTTTAACACTTCAGCCTCAGCAAGAAAGATGGTGGTAGCTTGAAGAACTTGTTGTAGAGCTCATCATTATTTCTGGAAGGAAGAGGTTGTCAGTTTTTATATCTTGAGAAATAATGTTCTGTCTGTTTTCAAAAGAAATTGAAACCCTGTATTATAGGGTAAAATCAACCCTGTTTTGAATGTACTTAGGAAGATGCCTCTTTGCTCTTACTGTTTTCTTACAGAGTCATAGAAATGTTTGGGTTGGAAGGGACCTTAAAGGCCATCTAGTTCCACCTCCCTGCCATGGGCTGAGGCATCTCCCGCTAGACTAGGTTGCTCAGAGCCCCATCAAATCTGTTCTGGAACACTTTGAGGGATGGAGCAGCCACAGCTTCCCTGGACATCCTGTTCCAGTGTCTCACCACCCTCACAGTGAAGAATTTATTCCTAATGTCTAATCTAAATCTGCAGTCCTCCAGTGTGAAACCATTCCCCCTTGTCCTGTCATTCCATGCACTTGCACAAAGCCCCTCCCCAGCTTTTCTGTAACCCCTTCAGGTTCTGGAAGGTGTTCTGAGGTCTCCCCAGAGCTTTCTCTTCTCCAGACTGAACAACCCCAGTTCTCTCAACCTGTCTCCACAGGAGAGGTGCTCCAGCCCTCTGATTGTCTTCGTGGCCCTCTTCTGGACTCGCTTCAGCTACCCCATGTCCTTGTGTTGGCCCCAGAACTGGGCACAGTACACTAAACAGTTTGAGATATGCTAAAAACACATTTGGAAAGAGCCTACAGGTTCATATTTTCAAATTTTTTTTCTGTGCAAACAAATGTGTGTTGCAGATAATCTTTGTTCTGAAGTCGAAGCCGCAGTTGTTGGCACTAGTGTGTAGCTGACTGCATTTTGTGACTCAAGGTTATTAAAAATGCTTCTGTTAGGCATACTTTTAAATTAAAAAAAGGAGGAAGTGAGGTAAAGGGGACCCTGACACAGCACAGATGTTAATGAATAGTGTTCCCGTGTACCCAATGAGCAACACCTTTGTCTCTTGCCAAGTGCAGCTGTCAGCTTTTAACAAGTTTCCAGCACCTAGAACCAGTGACAGCCTCAAGTTGTTTCCTGTCTCATCTTGCAATGTGAAATATTGAGAGCTTTCTGGGCAATTTAAGCAAAACCAAGAGAAAAATAACCTCTCTTGCTCTTCTGATTTTTTTTGTTTTGTTTTTCCTTTCTGTTCTATCATAATTGTGTCTCTGTCAGCTTTTTCTCATTTCAACTTTGGTGTCTTATGTAAAGCAGAACTAACCTTTTGCATGTATTTTAGTTGCAGGATGTATTTGTGTACATGCATAGCAGTAGCCCAGTCTAGGAGCATATTGCTTCAGACATTTACCTGACTATGTTGTACTATGCTCTCAGTGGCTGTCTTTTAGTTATTGCTCTTGAGAGCTGTTTTATTCTGCATTTATGCTCTTTTTATAATATCCACGTGCAGGTATAAAAGCAGCATAAAATAATAGGAGTTTTGGACTTTGTGGAGTTGAAATCTAAAATGAACTTTGTCCTTCTATAGTAACTGCAGTATTTTTTGCCTTATTTTTAAAGTAAAATAGAATCTTATTATGGAATAATGCTTCTGTTGAGGGTTAGGAGATGCTTGGAAACAGGTACAGAGGGCTCATGGAAAAATTTACTGTGAGATCTCAATAACAAGTTCTCATTTCCCAAACATGCTGGGGAGAGGAGGGGAATCAGTTGTAGCTTAAACTACTGCAGGACTTCTTTTGTTTATAAGGCACTTAGGGTGTATTTAAACAGCTAAATGTATGTCTGTTTTTAACAAGCCAGGAACTGTTTTCAGGGGAATGAGGCGTCTAGTCATACTTCAGTGTACGAAGTAAGATACATAAGTTTTTAGCCTATGCACTTAATTTTATGTACAAATGAAAATATGCTGGAAATCTGAAAGAGGAATAAGAAAACTTTTATCTGACATCTGAGAATAAAGTAGAAGGATAAATGCTTACTTTTCATTTTGCTAGACATAATTGTTCTAGTCTAAATTTTAAACCACTATGGAAACTACCAAAAGGTGTTTTATCTGAACAAAAAAGATACAAATAAGAATTCTAAAATTAGACTACTACTTGTTTTTTACCCACGACTTAAAATGTTCGTTGTTTACAGTGCCTGTGTCTTCCCAGATTGTTGTGATGATTGCAGTATTTTATGTATTGTTTTTTAGCTGCCTTCAGGCATACAGTTTTAAAACTGGCAGAAGAAAGTGCTGAAAAGTCTTAGTTTGTCTAGGCTGAATAGCTGAATTCTGCTGATGCTTCAAACTTCACATTGTTTCAGGAAAGCACTTTCTGCTTGTCTTTGGATATTTATTGTTTATTCTTTCTTGCATCTTGCATGAGTAGATTTGCTTGTATCTCTTTACATCCAACTCTTGAAGTTGGTTCTGATTAAAATAAGCAGTCTTTACTCAGCATCATGGGTTTGGGTTTTTTTTTTTAGTAAATTTATATGTTTTACTGAAAGTGATACTCATTATTGCCTAGTAGCACCATCTAGCTGTTGGTAGTGAGAAGGCTTTCTTTCCCCCACTCCAGTGCAGGCTCTCCCTTATGAGAGGAGATGGGCTTGCACTGACCAAGCCACTGCTATCTTTAGGGAAGTACTTTTTTCTCCCTCCTTGCCAATTAAGACTGATATTATATAAAAAACCCTGATTTGTTTGTATCTGTCTTCTCTCAAACACTTTTTATATATAAATTATTTTTTTTTTTGCTGGCTCTCAGGAGTTGAATAGATACTTTGAGCATCTCATGACTTTTTTTTGGTTTTTTAGAATGTACATGCTTGGGACTTAAGACTGTCTCCTTGGTGTATCCATATACTTTGGTTTTTTCCTTAGCTGATTATTTATGTTCATCTGGTTCAAATCTACCAAGTTATTTCCTATTGCACAAATAGCAGTGTTAACAGTTAACATTTCAACAAATGGCTTATACTCTGTTCAGTTCTGCTATAGTACAGCTGATGGCTGTGCCTCTATGTAACTGCTCTTCTCCCTTTCTTCCCTTTGTTTCTTAATTCTTATATTACTTTCATCATACAGCATGTGTATATGACTTTTACACTTGAAGCAGGGAGCAGCCTGTTTCACCATGTAGTCCTTCTTTCTAAATAGCCATATCTAGAGAAGTTCTTTATTAACGTGAAGTTAGGGATAAAATGTTTGAACTTAAGAATGGTAAAAAAAAATATTGATAATGTGATAGTCTAATATCAAAACCGTGTTAAATAGTATATGGTAATTCCTTACCAACCAAACATGAACTTCATGAATAAAAGGATTTGTTTAGTCTTAGTTGACCAAGGTCATAGAAACAATTCTGTGCTTGGACTGAAATATTTTTTTCTAATATAGTCTTCGAAGCAGAGAAGATGAGAGAATAACTAAACCTGGAGCTGTCTCTACACCTGTGAAAAATGCAGATGATATTTCTAAAACTATGGAAGAGGTGGCAGTTGAAAGAACTGAAAAACAAACTCCACCGCTCCCAGGTAAAAACATTAAAATGTTAATTTTGCATGTTGAGAAGAATGGATGACCAGTAAAGTCTTTATGCCGTTGCGTATTCATGGAATGATTTCTGAAGTTTTAAAACAGACCAAGTTCTAATTATTTCTGAATATGAACAGTCTTTGTAATCATAACCACATTTTATCTTGAAGGCCAGTTGGTGCAAAAAAAAGAAAATATGGTGACAGGGAACTGTTCTGGACAGGTTGACTTAAAAGATTTTTTTATTTAGAGTGAGATGCTGTAGTGAAATTTTATGTGGAGAAAGAAGAGCTGTGCAGGTGGTTTAGAGAGAGCTGTTTTTGAAAGGCCTGGTAGACTGATATAAAGCACATTCAAGCTTGAAAATATTTGAAGACTTAAGGGATGACTAGTGACACTTCTGCACGTAGCATTCAGTATCTCAATGAAGAATTGGAAGAGTTATGATGATAGACTCTGAAAGATCTTGAAATTGAGAACAGTAGTTTTCCCGATGCAGCAGCCATTATTAAAAAGACTGCCATAGGTGGTGATCTTTTGCAGTGTTGTTATGAAAAAATACAGATTAAGTAACTAAAGATAATATTTAAATTTGTCTGGAGATAAAAATTAACTTGCCATAGTGTATAGTGTGAGATAAAAAGGTGCCATAAAGGGCATAATTATTTAACAGCTTTGCAGAAGACTCATAGAGAATGAAAATCTCTCAGACCATAATGAAAATGTGGTTAGAAAAGTAGTTGGCAGATTCTGACACACATGCTGCTTAGACTTAAGGCAAGACAGCTCATGGTTGATTGTGTCAAAGGAGGGTGGAAGGGAAGAGTATTTGTTCAGAGGGATCATCAGAGTCTGGGGCTAGGAAAGGGTAATTAAAGACTCTAAAGGAAAAAACTGTGTTACTATATGGTAAGGAGAAGAAGTCATGTTAGAAAAGGCACTATTACCAAATTGTTTTCTGAAATTCCCAATTTCAAAGTAGTCTGGTGATTTGAGAGGAAGACAGCACAGTTGTTGGGAAAATCAGGGCTATCAGACTAGTTAAAAATAGCCTGGTTTGAAATCAGTCTTGTTCAAGTGTGCAGAGATAAGCTTTAAATACAGATTCTTCTAGCATGACCAACCATGCAGCAGAGAAGAGCCATTGATAGTGCTCATTACTGGGGGAAGACTGCAGTGGTGCTTTCCTCCCAGTGACTCCAGAGGGTCTGTGCAGCAGAGCCATACTAAGTACATATTTTTAAGAGCCACCAACTGAACCAAAGCAATCATTGAAATCTACCAACCTCAAGGCATGCAGAAGTAGTTTGAGTGTTTTGTGGTACTTCTGTTTAAAAAATTTATTTATTGGGGGAAGAGAGCCAATGGAAAATGAATACATTGTCATAAATCAAGGTGAGAAACAGGGTTGAAAGTGACCATGCAAGCATGAAGCCTTCTAGTTCTTGTACTTGTATGGTGTTCAAAGTACTTGACGAAGTATAAAGTAAGTTTTGAGATTTTTACTGTGGTATAATTAGGCCAGTAATCATGCTGATTTGAATGGCATAGTGAGAGTGTCTTCTGTTTTAGTAAATTTCTAATATGTTCAAGTGGGGTAGAGAATGGCTACTGAAGAAGCCATGAAGTTCTTAATTAAGTTAACCTGTTTCCTCATCTTTAAATGACTAAATGGACATTTGGAATCTTTTGATATTTTAATAGAGCCAAAGCCAGTTTATGCACAAGGAGGCCAGCCAGATGTGGATTTACCAGTCAGTCCATCTGATGGTCCTTTATCCAATTCAACCCATGAAGATGGAATGCTTCGGTAATGTAACTCTGAGCTCTACTCAAATCTGCTTGGTCCCTGAGCAAACCAAGCTTTTATTCAAGGTGATGAATAACCCCCATAAGTGGTTTGATGTAAAGTCCAATATGCTGTTCTGGGGCTTCTTTTCAGAAATATTAGGATGAAGACCCTAGGTTTATTCCTGAACCTTGTTGGCACTTGCATTGTGTAATATACCTTTTTAAAGTCTATTAATTTCCTCAGGAAATTAGCAGTTACAATGAGCAACAGGTGAAAAGAATTTGCAGTACGTCTCTCTCCCTGCACACAGCTGTTGCCCCTCCCACCTTGTCCCAGTCTCTAGAGAGAGGAGAGATACTGCATCATGATTCTAGTTTGGTTTTGTCTCAAATTCATCTTAATCTCTTCAGAGACAAAATAGATCTATATGCCAGCACAGCTCTTTAAAAGGAGGAGTGTTGAAGTGCCTCACTTGAATCACTGTATGAGCGTAAGACAAAACCCACTAAACAAGTAAATACAGGTGGGTTTTTAGAAGTGCTGCTAATAAGTGTGTTGTAATGCTGCAGCTGATGAGCAGTTACTGGTATGCATCTCATAGTATCCTCTAATTGAAATCATAGGCAAATTAATTCTTTTGCATGTGTTCAGTTTCAAATTTACCAGGGTATTTTGTGCCATTACACCTCTAATTGGAATATTTTCTCAATCTCTAGGCCCAGCATGAAACTTGTAAAATTCAGAAAAGGAGATAGTGTGGGCCTGCGACTAGCAGGTGGCAATGATGTTGGCATATTTGTAGCTGGTGTTTTGGAAGACAGCCCTGCAGCAAAAGAAGGACTAGAAGAAGGGGATCAGATTCTCAGGGTATGTCAAAACAGTAACGGCACAAATGTTTTGTTATAACCAAGTAGGTTTTCTTTCTGTGGTATTGAATGGATTGCCTTTGTAGTTCATATGTTTTTTTTTCTGTGTGTACTTATTAGGTGGTTTTATAGTAGCAAAACCTCCTGTTACTGTACTGCTGTTAAGAAGGTTAATAAGTTTTTACATCCAGTTTCTTAGACTAATTAAGTTGATAAGGTTGTTTGTTTTAACTTTTGGGTCACTAAAATGTCAGAGGGCTCTGCATGTTACTGGTACTTCATCTAAAGACTAGAAAATGAACAGGTACCTGTTATTCTGGAAGCTGTGCTTTTATTAAGAAATGTACCTCTAAATAGTTCAACTTTAAAAGACATTTTGAGATACATGCACCTGGTGTGTATGTGTGAAACAAAATTTAAAAAATATTACCAATAAGTTGTTTAGATTTCCCAATGTGTAGTTAAATCTCTGTTATACGGTTGTGTGCTAAATCAAACTGGTTACTTCATTGGTAACAGGTAAATAACGTAGACTTCACAAATATCATCAGAGAAGAAGCTGTCCTTTTTTTGCTTGATCTTCCTAAAGGAGAAGAAGTAACTATTTTGGCACAGAAGAAAAAAGACGGTAAATATTTGAGTATCAGGACCTAATGTAGTAGACTGTTTGGAACAAGGTGTGAAGTATAGTGAGTTATGTCTAACTTCTGGCATGCAGGGATTTGGCACCTTATGAAGGCTATTAACTTCTTTTGCCTTTGGGATATGTTACTGCTACAAACACTAGAGTTTAATACTGTAACAGAAACACGTTTCCTCCTCCCCCCCCAAAAAAGAAGGAAAAATCCAAACCAAACCCCCAAAACAAAACAGCCCCCCCAAAAAAACCCAAATAAAAAACCCACCAAAAACAACCCCTATCATTTGACAGAAGTATTGACATGAAACCTTGTTTGGGAGTAGGAGAGTGGTGTACTTCCCTCTTGAAAATTATTTCACTGATGTGCATGTACACACAAGCTTCTTACCCAGGAAGATTCATTTCTTTCAGGGGAACTGAATTAAGCTTGTATTAACACTGCATTTTTGACGATGAAAATTAAATTTATGTTGATAGAGTTTGCTCTTAATAGTTATGCCGGTTAAAATAGAGCAGCTCTAAGATGTTAAGGCTTCTTGAAGTAATAGTGTATATTTAAACCAAAGAATTAAGCTGAACACTGTTTTGAGTAATTCTGGTGAGCATTAAGATATGACTTGAACTTGTATAACACTGTGTTTTGGGATTTCTCTCTTTTTTCAGTTTATCGTCGCATTGTTGAGTCAGATGTAGGAGATTCTTTCTATATCAGAACTCATTTTGAATATGAAAAGGAATCTCCTTATGGACTAAGTTTCAACAAAGGTGAAGTGTTCCGTGTGGTGGACACTCTGTACAATGGCAAATTGGGTTCATGGCTGGCAATTCGAATTGGCAAGAATCATAAGGAAGTTGAAAGAGGTATCATACCTAACAAAAACAGGTACGATCTTAAAATACTGAAATTACTGTTTTAAAACTACAGTTTTAAATTCTGCATCTGTATAACCAAGTATTGGACTTGTCTGCAGGACACTAGTTCATAGAAATGGTTTAGTCAGAAAAAGTGACGAAGTGTTAAATTGGAGTTAAGGATCTGATCGGTGTATTTGCTTTTGACTCTTGTACAGTCCACAAAAACCCTTAAAGCTTTCTTTTCCATACTAGAGACAAGGCTCTATGAAGCTTTAGTAATGTGGTATCAGCCTCAGTAGTTCAATCTTGCACTTTTTAATACCGAAAAAACCAGAGCTTGATTCAGCAGGTGGTAGTTTGTTTTGGAAGTATAAGCTTGCTAGTCAAGCATTATTTCAGAAGCTGGTTGGGAAGCTTAATAACTGGTTGGGATTTGTTTTCATCTTAGAGCTGAGCAACTAGCTAGTGTGCAGTATACACTTCCAAAGACAGCAGGAGGAGATCGAGCGGATTTCTGGAGATTCCGTGGCTTGCGCAGCTCCAAGAGAAACCTCCGAAAAAGCAGAGAAGACCTTTCTGCCCAACCTGTGCAGACCAAGTTTCCTGCCTATGAAAGAGTTGTTCTTCGGGAAGGTATGGCTTTATTCTTACTGTTGCAGGTTAACAGGTTTGTGTGGTTGGCTTTGCATTAGCCTAGGAATTTAAGGGCTTTTTGCATTTGTTTTAAGCAATTGATGTATGTTGTTGGGTTTTTTTTCCCTTTCTCTTCTAGCTGGGTTTCTCAGACCTGTTACCATTTTTGGTCCAATAGCTGATGTTGCACGGGAGAAACTTGCTAGAGAAGAACCAGATATCTTTCAAATTGCAAGTAAGTGTGAGATCAGGTTCTTTCTGCAGTTATGAAATAATCTGCTTTCCTTTGCTAGATTGTTTCTACATTATTACTTTAGTTGTTAAAATATTTGATAGGTCGCTAACAGTGTAAAGGAACACACTAAACAAAGTCACTGGTTGCTGGTAATTCTCGTAAGGTAAAAGTAGTATTTGTTCTATCTGTAGCCTTCTTGAATTTAATTTTGAATTCAGTACCATATTGTCCTATTTCTAAGTGCTTATGTAAAGATGCTGTAATTTTTATGGCCAAATTGGTGGACAGATTTTTGTGTATTACTTTGAAGCAGGGGGAGTATCTTCAATCTGACTTGACATTCTGAGCTGTTTTTTCTATCTTAATGAGGGAATGAAGAGTGTGTTGTAAACTCACAATAGATTTTTACTGTGTCCTCTTTACCAGAAAGTGAACCAAGAGATGCTGGTACTGACCAACGTAGTTCTGGCATTATTCGTCTCCACACTATAAAACAGATAATCGATAGAGTAAGTCTTTTTTTGTCACTGGACTTTTAACACAAGAAGAGTAAAACTGGTATCATCAAGTGAAGTGCTGAGTGTTTTATTTGTAGAATCATAACTAATGAGCATGTTCGCTGGGAAAAGTTTTCTCACGTCTATGTTGGTTAAGTAAAAAAAACACCATTCTTTTCCTTCTCTGTATGAATAAATGCAGTTTAGAAGTAACTTTAGGCTTTTTTTCTGGCAATTGGTACCCTCTTGCCAATAAGGCTGTTTTAAGCTGTTTCCCCTTTAACTTTAAGCCATGGTATGACATGACAGCTATAAGTTATTTTATTTATGGAGTCATTAGTCTTCCCCAACCTCAATTTAGAGATTATTAACTTGAAATCACATTTTATGTGCAAGGAGTAGGGGAAAGGCTCTTTCAGTGTCACTTCCTTAATATCCTTAAAACTTATGACATTAGTTTATGATACAAAACTCTACTTCCTAACTTTTTATTTCCTTACTTAAAAAAAGCAACTGCAAGCCCAGATGCCCAGTTAGAGTTGGGGTGGGAGGAAGCTATTCTAGCAGCACAGTGGGGATACTGTGTACTGGACATCAATCTTGCAGTGGATGAAAGCTGAACAAGTTCTTGCATTCAGAAGAACTTTTGTAAAGTAGGATGGAGGTGTGTAATGAGACTAAGTCTTGTGTTTCAATCTTTTCTTTTTTGCTGTTAGCAGAATACTAATGGGTAACTGCTTATTTTTAGTTTAGTGTCTGCTTACTTTCTGTTGTGGGTTTTTTTTTTTTTTAAATAGTGATTTACTTTGAAACGTTGAGCTCCATAAGCAGAACAAATTTGTGGAAGAAGTTTAACCAAAAAAAGTATGTAAAAAATTAATTTTCTTGGCTCTGTTCTTTTTATCACAACAGGACAAACATGCTTTATTAGATGTCACTCCTAATGCAGTGGACCGCCTGAATTATGCCCAGTGGTATCCTATTGTAGTGTTCCTAAATCCTGATTCTAAGCAGGGTGTAAAGACTATGAGAATGAGGCTATGCCCAGAATCAAGAAAAAGTGCCAGAAAGCTGTATGAAAGAGCTCACAAGCTACGCAAAAATAATCACCATCTCTTTACAAGTAAGTGATTAGATATACTGGATTAGTTTTTCTGAGGGAGAGGGAAAGGCAAGGTGAGAGTATCTTCCTCCTCCAGACTTTTCTGCGAATGGACCAAGTCAAGCAGCTGTTGACTCATTCAGGCTCCCCAGTCCAATAATCAGTAGTTCACTGGTGTGTGCATTGTTTGCACACAACTATACAAACGTAATGCAATCTGAAATATCAAAGTGGCATTTTTTAACAGGCCTGGTGGTTTTGCAGGATTATGAACCAAAATCAAACGTGAGTAAATAGGAAGATGATGTAGTTTTGTTAGTCTGGGTAAACTGAAGACTTTATTCTAAGCTACTCTTAAGTCAGTATTTCCTATGGGATACAGTGTCCCAAGCCACATCAGGACTAAAGGTTACTTTTAATACTAGTATTTTTATTACTATTTAAATCTCATGTTTTTAACCTACCAATTTGTGTTGCTTTTATTGCTGGTGATATAGATCCTTCTGTAGTTCTGCAGAAATAAATGAAACTAACCTGCTCTGCTTCTAGCTACCATTAACTTGAATTCAATGAATGAAGGATGGTATGGAGCTCTAAAGGAAGCAATTCAACAGCAACAGAACCAACTAGTGTGGGTTTCAGAAGGAAAGGTAAGCAATAGGTTTGGGGAGAAATGACAAGAGTGTATTTCTGAGATATTTTGGTTTTCATTGTTACCAGTATTACAGACATGGGCAGATACTTGTGGAAAAAAGTTTTTCCTTTTTTCCTTATTTTAACCATTTACCGAAGCAGCAATGCCTCATGGCTGTGTGGACTGCGTAAAGCAGATTTGTCACTAGATTAATGTAGTTATTCTGTTAATGAGGGCTCTGCAGTTGTCCTTTTGCATGTAGCAGTGTAGTGAGAGCATTTGCTCATGGCCACTGTTTACTTGAATATATAATATTACTTTTAGGACACTGTGGGGATTGGATGCTTTTTCCTGAAAGAACTTTTGGGTGTTCTGTGTTGGTACTAGAGGCTAAGATTGCCTGATGATGAATAATGTTTTTGTTAATGTATTCATATTCTTTCTGAGAACTGTATTCTGTGTTGTGAGAGCACAGATACAAAATCACAAGTTAGTATTCAGTGTTCCCCATTAAAACTCCACTTGCCTTCTCAATCTGTGTCTTACACTATGCACATTAGATCCATCCTCTTGAAGAACAAATACCAAGTGAAGTGCCAGCTGCAAGTAAGCAAATGATGAATTGGCTATTGCTGCGTGCTTGATAATATTTGTGTTGTCTGTTTCTGTTCAGACTGAGCTTCTTTCACCTCCTTAGATCTACCTTCAAGTTACTGATTCCAGTATCATAATATCACTTTAAAGTGCAGCTTTGCATCTTGCCAAACACTTCCATTTCATGCACACGGTGCACTGTCCCCTTCCTTACACTGACAGTCATCTGACCTATTAGTAAAATGAGTCAGAGAGCTAGACTGCAGAAAAGGCTTTTAAAGTGTAAGTTTTAACACCTTCAATGACTGAAACCCAGTTTCTTCTCCCTTGTGCATTCACAGAATTGTTGAATTCTCATATTGTTGCTGGGTTTGAAACATAACTAAGTTTTTTAAAACCAGACTTTCTGTTGTGGTTCAGAACAAGATAGATGCATATAATTTTTTAATTTCTTAATTATTCATAAAAAAATTTCCTAGCTTTACGTTGCAAGAAAAATTCTTCCAAGGATATTTCAATAAATGTGTGTTCTGATTGTGTTTGACACAGGCAGATGGTGCTACAAGTGATGACCTTGATTTACATGATGACCGCCTTTCTTACCTCTCAGCTCCTGGTAGTGAATATTCAATGTACAGCACAGACAGTAGGCACACATCTGACTATGAAGACACAGATACAGAAGGGGGTGCTTACACTGATCAGGAACTGGATGAAACTCTGAATGATGAGGTTGGGACTCCTCCTGAATCTGCTATTACACGTTCTTCTGAACCTGTTAGGGAGGATTCTTCTGGAATGCATCATGAAACTCAAACTTACACTTACGCATCTCAAGCTCAGCCACAGCCAAATCTCAGAATAGATTCTTCAGGATTTAAAACAACTACTTCTCAGCCGGTAAGGAAATAATCTGTCATACTCTTCTTCAGGTTGCAAGTTCTCTTGAACAAGAAATCTGTGTTTATAGTCTGCTTACCAGTATTGTGAGTGCTTACAAGAATCTGTCAACAGCAACAATATGTTATAAAGAATTGGATAATCAGCTTGCCCTGCCTGTTTTAGCGACTCATTCTTACAGGAGGGGGATTGAAGTACTGTTCTACTTGGATTAAATGTTTTGCTTTTTTAGTCTTCAACATACTAAATTTCTGAAAGTGCTAGTGCATGATACTTTCAGTGCATTTCATTCGACATCTAGCTGCATTGATCCAAGTATCATTTAAATTATTTTAATATAGATCAAAAAGTCATGCAGTGGTTCAATAGTCGTATATTTAAAATATTTTAAACACTTCACAGAAAGCAGACGCCTCACCTGCAGTCCCTTACCTTTCCCCGTCGCCTGAATCAAACCCTGCAACCTCATCAACCTCTGCAGTAAATGCTAATGTAAACCTAACTAATGTCAGACTGGAGGAGCCTACTGCTGCTCCTTACAACTCTTACCAACCACAAGCGGGCCCCTTAAGAACATCAAGTACTGAGGGAGCTCATATAGTCCTAAGAGATCAAGAGCCATCATCCTTATCGCCGCATATAGATCCAGCAAAGGTACCTGTGCCGCATTGTTGCGCTGATTTCCTGCTGTACATCAAGCTAGCACATCTTTTTTTGTTTTGCCCTAATTTGGAGAATTCCTTCTAATTTTTTTCCTGTAAGGAATCATTGCAGGTTACAGAAAACAGTGCATCTGAATTGCTAAGCATCATCTAATGTTTTGTGTGCATGGCTTCAAACTGTACTTGTCACTTCTCAGACATACATTTTTTAAAAAAGGCTGCATCCTTTATTTTGATTTTACTTTACATGTGTTTTTTTAGCTTGTCCATGTTCTGTTGTTTGTTAATGAGGCCTTGAGAAAAATCTGTTATTTCCCTAAAATGGCACTAGATCTTTGTCTTTAAATCATACCAAATCCTTGATCATGAAGATGAATCCAGTTTGTTGGGTGACTTTATATACTTCCTTAGCAATGCTAGAACTAACTAATATATAAATTGACTTACTTCTGCTCTTCCCATTCCCTGCAAAAGTGTTCCCCCCTCTGTCCCCCAACACCAAACCTCAAAGATGAGAAACTGTTACCTTTGTCTTTCCCTTTTTAATCTGCTTAAGTGTTTTTGCTTAATAATAGGACCAGAAGGGATCTCTTGAACCACCAAATTCAGCTTCCTGTGATTGCAAGCAACTGCATCAAATTATTCTGCTTTTAAACAAAATTAAAGCCAGTATTTAAAACTTGGGTTTCTTTAAAATGTTACATTTCAAGTGCAGCTGCAGTTACTCCTCATTGCAACTGAAAAGCATTCCTCTTTCTTTAACAGGTATACCGGAAGGATCCCTACAGTAATGAAGAAGCATCCAGACAAAGCTACATCTTAAAACAGCCAGCAGTTAATCACCCAGTTCAGAGACAGGAAAGAGACCCAAATCTGATCTATGAATCCCAGGCTCAGTATGCAGAAAAACAGCCAAGTAGGGACTATGAACAGTCAACATACAGGTATGACTCTACAAACTATGTAGATCAATTTTCTCGAGGCTATGACCCTCGCGTACACTATGATGACCGTGTGCCTCCCTATGAGGAGCACTGGGCATATTATGATGAAAAACAGCCCTACAACCAAACAAGAACAGCTTATGAAAACCAGCCTCCTAGGGATCTTGATTCCAGGCAAAATCTAGAAGAGAGCACAGACCGCAGCTACTATCCAGCACAACCTCGTTTTGAGGAACCCCCCCCAATGAGCTATGATGGCAGACCTCGCTACGAGCACGCACCCAAAAACTTCAGCTTGCCACAAGTGCGATACGAAGAGCAACACACTGCTGGATATGACACGCATGGTAGATACAAACAAGAAGCTCAGCCATACCAGTCAGCCATATCTCGATCTCCTGAGCCGAAGCAGTACTTTGATCCACATGTAAGGGGCTATGAACAAGGTCCTTCTCAAGCTTACAATGCTAAAGCTGGACAGTATGAGCCCTCTCACAGTACTTCAGGTGTTTCTCTTCCTCCTCCCACTTCATCACAAACCAAACCAGAAGTTTTGCCTTCTAACAGTAAACCACTGCCTACACAACCATCCCTAGCAGAGGAAGAAGAAGATCCAGCCATGAAACCACAGTCTGTGCGAAGCAGGGTTAAGATATTTGAAAGAAGAAGATCACCATCTTTGGAAAAATTGAAGGAGCCAAGTGATACATCAGCTGTCAAGGTAGGTAATTTGTTTTTTAATTCCTGATTTTTGTTAATGAAACTACGTTGCAAGAAATAAAATGCTATCTTGGAAGGTAAGCTTTACTGCTTGTGGAATAGCCTCTTAGCAACTTAACTGTTTAAAAGTGGAAGCTGAAAGCTTTTATGAAAACACTGAGGAGGATTTTGCTGTGCTGAAGACTCCTTCAATTCATCTTTCACTAGTATTTCATTCTGTCTTCCTTCTGGGGTAAGTGTGGGGGTGCAATCTTAGTATTCCTACTTATGAGTTATATTAGATGTTAGAGTTAAATGCTATGTTAAATGTTAGAGTCTAAGAGAATATGCTGTGCTTTTCTTTACAGCCTCCAGAACTAGCACCTAAGCCTACACTCACACCTGTGGGTGGTCCAAAACCAACTTCTCAAAGCCAGTATGAACACGACAAAACAACTTTCAGGTAGATGCACAACTGATTAATTTAGTTTTCAATGTGAGATTGGAATATTCAGAAGGTATCTTCCTGTTCCAAGTTAGAAACAGCAGTGTAGGCAGACAGTGTGTCAATATGATTTCTGTGTCAACAGTAAGGTGGGGCAGAAAGTCTGTTCTCATGGAAATAATTGCTGGGAAGTGGAGCAAGGACACAGCATGTTTTTCAGTGTTTTTGAGGGAGAAACTTAGGCAGTGTCTTAACCTTTTTTTTTTTTTTCTATGTTTAATTGAGATAAATAGAATGTAAAACAAAAGGAAAAAGATACGGTAAAAGGGGAAATAAGGTAAGGGTGCATTAAGAAAAATAGCTAGGGAGATTCTCCTTTGCCTCTACTCTGCCCTGGTAAGACCACACCTGGAATACTGTTATGTAGTTCTGAGCTCCCCAGTTAAAGAGAGACAGGGATCTACTGGAGAGAGTCCAACTGAGGGCTGTGAGGATGATTAAGGGACTCGAACATCTCTCAGGGCTGAGAACCGGGCCTGATTAGTCTTAAGAAGGCTGAGAGGGGATCTTATAAATGTCTAAAAATATTTGAGGGGGGGTTGCAAAATGGAAGGGGCCAGTCTCTTTTTGGTGTTGCTCAGTGATAGGACAAGGAACAATGAGTATAAGCTAGAGCATAGGAAGTTCCGCCTCAACATGAGGAGAAACTTCTTTGCTGTGAGAGTTAGAGAGCACTGGGACAGGCTGTCCAGAGAGGCTGTGGAGTCTCCTTCACTGGAGACTTTCTAGACCCCTCTGGTTGCATACCTGTGTGACCTGCTGTAGGTGGTCCTGCTTTGGCAGGGGGGGTTGAACTCGGTGACCTCTAGGGGTCCCTTCCAACCCCTAACATTCTGTGATTCTCTGACGTTCTTGGTTCATGCTGTGTTGCAGCTATCTAATTTCCGTGCACTATAGTTGAAAAGGCAAGGAGTGTTATTCTTAAAATTATGTTTTGGTTACTTTGGTACTAATTAGGTTGGAGTAGAATTGTAATTTAGGTACTTCGGCTTGTTCAGCTGTTCCAGGCAACTGTATATTATTATTTTTGATTAGGGCCCCAGAACCACAGAGACCTCAAGTGAAGCCACCTGAAGATATTGTGCGTTCAAATCACTATGATCCTGAAGAAGACGAGGAGTATTACCGAAAGCAGCTCTCGTACTTTGATCGCAGGAGTTTTGAAAACAAGCCATCTGCACAGGTTCCTGCTAGCCACCATTCTGAGCCCACTAAGCCAATACATTCACAGAGTCAGCTGAATTTCACCAATTATTCTAAGTAAGTTTGGGGAATTTCTTTTTTTCTTTTTCCTTTTTATTTTGAAAAAGGAGGGAGGCATGTAGTACTGAAAGAAATTCTGCCTCCCTTGCTGGGGTTCCAGGGGTTCATGACATCTAATTGCAATTGTGTATTCAGTAAATCAGTTCAACTGTTTAGATGTAGTTTCAGTTTGAAAACACATAACAGCCCAACTTTTAATTGTAGTTAGTGAAATGATTCATTTTTATAGGCTTCAGGACCTTCAACATGTTACTTCTTTTGCTTACCACTTGCTAACAGAACATAGCAAAGTATTTCCTTAGTCTAACTAATACTGAGTGCTTAAACATCTCTCAAAGCAAAGATTTTGGTTTAATTTGGTTCTGCATGCAGTTATTCTGCAAACAGGCTTGTACATGATAGCCATGTTTAACATTAGGAAACTGAGCCTTTAGGGAATATTGCTGAGGCCAGAGTTTAATCTGTTGATGGAAACATCTGTTTCCTGTATTGTTCTCCTTCCTTGATTTGGAACATTTTGATACAGAAATTGTGTGAAAGCTCATACACAGAAATTGTGTGAAAGCTCATACACAGAATTAGTTCTGGTACAGAACTGGCTATCTTGGAGGCTGCTTATGCAAACTTGGAGTACTCCTGATTTTCCAAAACTTGTTTTGATTCAAACTGTAGCAATGTGTTTGTAGCTGTTAGTTTGAAAAGCTATCTTGGCTGCATGAAGGCTGAAAATGAGGCTTTTTTGAAGGCATGAACACTTTAGAAGGTTGCATTCCTGTTTTGAAATCTAGGCTATTCAGATCAAGCTCAAAATCTGGCAAACTTAATGGAAAGATATTGGAAAGGTGTAATCAAAAGATCTGCAGAGTGAAATAATAAACTAGCTTGCTGAATTTTTATAGTGTTAAGTATATGTGCAAGCTGTCTTTCATGTACTTAATACACTCTGTTCCAATGCTTGTCTTAAAGGATTTTTGAGCTAGGATTTGGGAATCCTGTTCTTATTTGTATAATATTGTTTGTTATCACCAGTGTCTTATTCTGTGAATTGAGAATATTGGAGTCTTTCCAAAAGCTTAAGTTTTAAAGGATTCACTTCTTTGCTAATCAAGAAGTCTACATATGGTAACTATTTTTTAATATGCTAATCTGTAATCACTTCTGATTCTCAGTCAATGATATTCTTTATCCTTCCTTTTCACTTGCCCTGTGTCTTCTGATGGAAAGATACGAGTATATCTGTCCTGCTCTCTGGGCATTGTAGGAAGAACCTTTAAAAAAAAAAACTTTAGTTGGCCTCATAATGCATTGCAGTAGCTTTCAATTACATTCCCATGTACAAAAATCAACATTACCCATAGATGGTCCGTTTTGATCTGTAGACATCAACTATGTTGTCATCGTAAAGGCAGGTAATACTTCGGGAAACATGAGCTTTCATCAAGTAATTGTGAAGATAATAACATTATTCAGGTAGTGTTGTGTAAGCCTTTGTTGTACATTTGTTGTCCTTTACAGTGGTGTCACACATGCTGAAAAACCTGAGAAATGTAAACAACTGTTGAGTTTGTGCTGCAGAGCAGCTGGTAGCTGAGACATTTTTCCATACTTTTTATCTACCCCTTCTTTCTGCTGTAACACTTCCATGCTTTTGGCTGCTCAGTTCTGGCTTTGATTGTCAGTTGGTGTGTAACTCCAGGGCTTGCACATGTGGGCAGGTGATGTCTTACTGCCATGGAGGGGTAAGATAATACTGTAGTAAGGTCTGGGGAATAAGTCTTAAAGGGAGAAGCTGAGGGGGCTGGGATTGTTTAGTTTGCAGAAGGCTGAGGGGTGACCTCACTGCTCTCTACAACTACCTGAAACGAGGTTGTAGGGAGGTGGAAATTGGCCTGTTCTCTCAATTGAATAATGACAGGACAAGAGGAGATGGCCTGAAGTTGTGCCAGGGGAGGCTTAGGCTGGATATGAGAAGGAATCTCTTTACCAGAAGAGTGATTGGACAGTGGAACAGGCTGCCCAGGGAGGTGGTGGAGTCAGCATCCCTAGAAGTGTTTGAAGAAATGTGGATGTGGTGCTTAGGGACATGATTTAAGCACTGAATGGTTTGATTAGGTTATGGTTGGTGGAGTTAGGTTATGGTTGGACTTGATGATCTTTGAGGTCTTTTCCAACCAGGGTGATTCGGTGATTCTGTTTCTAAGGCTGATAGTTTCACGTCAGAGAACAAAAAAATGGTATTGTTTTTTTCTTTATCAAAGAATGTAACCCATAATAGGAAGGGACTGACATGGGAAAGCAAATTTCCCCACGGAAGTCCAGTGCAAATAGACAAAAGTGAGAATATTAATGGAAATATGTGGAAAGAGATGAATAGCACTTCTCAGTTGGACAGGAGTGTCTGTGGAAACATACTGCAATGTCCTTGTGTGGAAACACAAAGCAAATTGCTGTGTCCAGAAAGTGTTCGTATTTAGGACTCCCTTTTGCCAGCTTCCAGTTTGTACCCTTTTACTTTTTTGTCATTATTTTTTTTCCATTGAATTCATGTGGTAATTGCTATTTTGTGAATAAACTCTTCTAAGAATAAACAGGACCAAATTTCAGTGATACTGGAATGGTTGATTAAGCAATCTCTTGCTCCGGCATATTCCATATAATGTATTCTGAGTACAGAGGACACATTTTATTATTCATGGCCAATAGCTACAACTTTTTAAGTTTTAAATATTAATGTTAAGCACTAAATTATATAATGTTTTTTGCCACTAAGTATTGTTATTTTCCCCATTATGTGTGTACAAATTTGTCTGCTCTTAATTTGTTGGGATTTTATTTGCATCTTTTCAGAAACTTATCATAGAATCATAGAATCATAGAATCTTAGGGGCTGGAAGGGACCTCGAGAGATCATCTAGTCCAACCCCCCTGCCAGAGCAGGGTCACCTAGAGTACATCACACAGGAACTCATCCAGGTGGGTTTTGAATGTCTCCAGTGAGGGAGACTCCACAACCTCCCTGGGCAGTCTGTTCCAGTGCTCTGTCACTCTTACAGTAAAAAAATTTTTTCGGATATTCACCTTGAACCTCCTATGCTCCAATTTACACCCATTACCCCTTGTCCTATCACTGGTCATCACTGAGAAAAGCCTAACTCCATCCCCCTGACACTCACCCCTTACATATTTGTAAACATTGATGAGGTCACCCCTCAGTCTCCTTTTCTCCAAGCTAAAGAGACCCAGCTCCCTCAGCCTTTCCTCATAAGGGAGATGTTCCACTCCCCTAATCATCTTCGTAGCTCTGCGCTGGACTCTTTCAAGCAGTTCCCTGTCCTTTTTGAACTGAGGGGCCCAGAACTGGACACAATACTCCAGATGTGGCCTCACCAATGCAGAATAGAGGGGGAGGAGAACCTCTCTTGACCTACTAACCACACCCTTTCTAATACACCCCAGGATGCCATTGGCCTTCTTGGCCACAAGGGCACATTGCTGGCTCATGGTCATCCTCCTGTCTACCAGGACCCCCAGGTCTCTTTCACCTACACTACTCTCCAGCAGTTCAGCCCCCAACCTGTACTGGGACATGGTGTTGTTCTTCCCCAAATGTAAAACTCTGCACTTCCCCTTGTTGAATTTCATCATGTTTCTCCCCGCCCAACTCTCCAACCTATCTAAGTCTCTCTGAATGGCAGCACAGCCTTCTGGTGTGTCAGCCACTCCTCCCAGCTTAGTGTCATCACCACTTATGGCATTACTAAAGCTGATTTGTATGAGTAAATCCATATCTGGATGTTACAGTTGTCAGTAACTAGAATAAGGAGTAGTTTCTTTTGATATGAGAAAATAGTAGGACTTGTAAGTGGACATATTTTGGTAGATCTAATTGGAGCAATTTATGAGGCTACTACCTGTGTGGCTGAAAGTAGTGGATTTGTACCTGCCTGGTTCAATGTAGTTACCTGCATTTACTGTAGAATAAAGCAGCTTATTTAAATTTTTGTAGTGAATATTGTTAAGAATATTCTCATGATCAGTTACAGCCTCATCTGAGGAGGCAGTAAGGAACAGTGTCCTGTGTTAAGTTCTTAAACTGCTCTAGCTGAGCTCTTGCATGTCTGTTAGAGTTGGAGCTTTTTGAATGGAAACTGAACATCAGCAATGCAGTCTGCTAAGTTTTCTCTTGTATGCCAAGGCTTACAACCCATTGTCCACAGGTTTATTCTTGTGGTTCATTTTTGCTTTGTTTCAAATTGAAGTAATGGTTTTGTAAAAAAAACCACACCAAAACAAACAAAAACCACAAAACCCAGAAACAACTTAGAGAACATCACATCAATAATTAGAGGACCTTAATTAACTCATAAGTTGTAAGCAAGCATTTTTTTTTGTGGACTACTTTCATTGCATGCAGGTTCTGAACCATGTGGTTGAGATTCTGGCTGACCCTTGGTCAGGAGCCTATGACAGAGCAATTTACTTCATATTAAGCACAACTTTGTGCTTTTGTGTTTGTGTTGTCTTGGCTTTCTTTTGCCCCCTCCATCAAAATGTACTACCCTTCCCCATTTTAGAGTTCCTCGGAAAGCTGGCACGGTTCTGATTAGGTGTGGAGCATGTGGGGTGTTTTCTGTGGGCTTTGGTAGTACTGTCCTTCCCTGGCTAACACCCCTCTGAGAAGCAGTGATTTGAGGTGGGCAGTTTTCTGAGAAGGCAGCTACTGCATACTGAAATACAGACAGCGGGTGAGCGTGCAGTAATAACTTCTGTTGTTGAATGAATGTCTCTATATAACAGCAGTGGGAACAGAAGCTTATACAGCAGATCTAAAATGATCTTCTGCAACACTGGTTTTAGAGATACATTCATACAGATGCTTTTTAGTTCACCAAGCATCACACTTGTGTCGTCATCAGGCAGACATCCAAAAGTTGATCAGCCCTTTTCTTGGTTTCATAACATACTCTTCTAAAGGAGTAAGACTGTTGGAGTCTAAAATTGTTGCTCATTACATTTTTATGAGCATACAGAAAGTGAAAGGATGAGGAAAAGCTGTCCTAATGTGAAATGTATTTTCTTGCAACATATAAGCAAGACAAGTGTTGAAAATCCAGGGAAGGTAATAGTATACTTAAGTTTTTTGTCTCTCCTGCTATTCCTAAACTATGTCTTAAGATGTCCTTTTAGGAACTGTTTAACAGTCAAGCATTGCATGGTGTGGGCTCTGCCACTGGGTGAGCTGGTAGTGCTATAGAAATATTTGCTAAGAATGTATCCTCAGTACATGATCTGCAATATAAAACTATCATAATTCTGTGTATGTTGAGACAGAAGAAATTAATGCAACTGGAGCATAAGTGAGAGTTTACTGGAGTATAGAATTTATATTTTGTTCACTTTTGTCAGTATATTGAATAACTTTGTTTATACATTTTGTAATAAATGGCTTAGTGTAATCTCATTCTTACTTTCAGTATCTGTCAGTTCTTCACCACCTCCTAATTTACTGACAAAATCTCATTAAATATAGTAGATGATGATTGTACATCTCTGCATGGTAAAGGTCTTACAGAAACATCAGTGTTAAAAATAGTGTCTCTTTGCTTCAACAACCTTTTAATACAAGAACTTCTAGGACTAACATAAGTGTGAAGAAATAATATGCTCAAGAGAGAATGACTATTTTCTTTCATTCTTCTATTGCTGTTTGCTTTGCCATCACCTAGATTTCTTGGCTCTTACACTAGCTATGACTACTTGAAAAGGAACATCAAGTGGTAAGACTGTTGTTGCTGTGAGGATGTTTTCAGGTGTCCTCTCACTGTTACATTTCATCACGGGCATTATGTGCACATAAAATTTTGAACACACAAATTCTGAAAATAAGTGCAATATATTGTAGTCCAAAATTCCAGGTATTTGTGAAATCAGCAATTTCCTGAAATATTTCTATTATAAGCAAAGTGTATTGAAAATAAGTCTTTAAAGTTATCTACACTATGCACATAAAGCTAGTGAAGCTTAAGCTGATTACATTTCTAATTAAGATGGCATTGTTCAAATACTAGGTGTATTTAGAAAAGTTGTATTGGAATTCATGTTCTTATTGGCTGATCATGCTTTCAAAAAATAACTCACCCACTTCCTCCAAAAAAATGGAATGATATTTTTATTTTGAAAACCTTCTAAATTAGAGAGCACTTTTTAATTGAAATTAGCCAAAATAAAACTGAAAAATTAAGATCTCGTAGGCAATTGTGCAAATACACCTGAAATGTCATCTGCCTTTTGTTTGCCATGGTTTGTGTTACTAATCTTCTAAAGATTCAATGTTGTCTTAATCTCTTGTGTTTATCAATAAATGTTTTTATACTTGAGACAGGATATTGAAGAAAATTGTGGTTTAATGTCTATAGGAAAAGATGGAAATCAGGTGATCAGAGAAGAAAGAAATAGCAGTGAGCACAGGAGCTCAGAGCCCTGAGGAAACCCAAGTGAAACATATTTTTTCTTTTATTTCAACAGGGGGAAGTTAGCTGACACAGAATCCATGGATAGGCCTGTTGGTGAAAAACGCTACGAGCCAATCCCTCAAGTCACAACTCCTCCTCCTGCTCCCTCAGTCCAGTACACACAACCTCAGTCGATTAACAGTCCTGTCCTCTCTCTCCCAGCACATCACAAGCCTGCACTTTCTGAAGGTGAGCAGTTAGATAGCTTGCCTATCTTGGGTGCTAACAAGTATCACTTATCAGGTGCTTGTGTGGGGGCTTCAGCATGTCTGTGCTGGTAACTGTGTTGTTTCTTTACTGAAAATTGGAGTAATTCTTGGTGAAAAGATTTTACTTTTTACTATAGTGAGATTAAGTTTGTGAAATTATTTGATGCTCCTGTCTAACTTCTAGGTGTTAACAGTTGCTATAATGGTCTCTTCCATATCTGATGGTCTGAGGGAAGATGAAGTAACATTTCCAGTACTTAGAAAATTTACTTCTCTATGCTTTGGACCAGAATTATTTAGGCATGAGTAATAGTTGTAGGCTTCAAAAAGCAGAAGAAAAAGTTGTTTTCCATCTCACATTTGAGAGGATTGCCTAGTCCAACTGAATTTTCCAGATTTGCAAGTACATGATAATATTTTAATACTAGTTTTCTTTTCTGTTAGGTATAAATGCCTGGCCTTTTTATTGAAAGGTTATACCATTGTATTTAGTGTATCTGTTTAATGAAATATTGGATAACTTGAACATGCAAAACATAATAGGACAGATGATCTAAGAGAGCTAAGCTGAGTCTATATATGTAATTTTATATAGTAGATGAAGAATAGATTGAAAAGTACTCTTATGCTATAACATGTGATTAGAAATTTCTGATGGTTGCTGATGAGTTCTGGTAATGTGTTTTTTTTGTGTTGCAGTTAACTCTGTCTCTGACCCTCCTCCACCTCAGAACAAGCCAGCAATTTTCAGATCCTCTAGAGAGGACACTGTGCAGTCCACATTTTATCCTCAGAAAAGCTTCCCTGACAAAGGCCCTGTTAATGGAACTGAGCAGATTCAGAAAACAGTCAGTCCTTCTTACAACCGCTTTACAACAAAACCCTACACTAGTGCTGCAAGGCCCTTTGAGCGCAAGTTTGAAAGTCCTAAATTCAACCATAATCTCTTGCCAAATGAAGCTCAACATAAACCAGAGTTGCCATCAAAATCTCCAAATTCTCCTCAACCAATTTTGAAAGCACACAGCTCATCGCAGCCTCCCGAGTTTGACAGTGGAATGGATACCTTTGCTGTACAGGTTGACAAGCCTAAATATCAACCAAATAATGTTAATGCTGTGCCTAAAGCCATTCCTGTAAGGTAAGCTGCTCTTTTTTTCCTCTTACTACATCTGTAGGAGTTCATCTGTGAAACCTGTGAAAGATGGAGTGTTTTTTTTTTCTGTTTCCAGTTTCTGTTGGTGTTGTTACACTTGAAAGTTTGATATTATGATTCAAAAATTTCACCAAAAGACATTGAAGAGCATTTGGGCAGATGCTTAAATTATGTCCTACGTCCCTGTATCATTTTGCATCCTATTACTTGAAAGCATTGTGACTTATGTTTCTCATTTCTCATACTGTAATTAAGAATCTTCTGGTAGATTATTAATGTCTAAGGATAGCTGCTGCACCAAGTCTTATTAACTTTGTATGCTTAGAGAGAGGCCTCATGATAGATACATGAAAGGGATATTTTTAATTGTAGAAAGAGAAAATCACTTAAGCAGTTTCATCTTGCTTCTCTTTACTGTGAAACATAAAGTTGCTTAAAGGCAGCTTGTACTTGCCTAATATGCTCTAAGAACTGTGTCAAGAGCTTCAGACTGTAATACTAAATTGTTAAATTCTTTTCACTAATATTTGAAGAACTGTTTTATTATTCTTTGATTTCAAAATAATGCATGAAGCAGCCTTGGAATCTTGCTTGATGTTTCAGTAACTCAGAAATGTAATAGAAGAATGAATCCTATTTGTTCTCAAGTACTCAGTTAATGTTTTGATGCTATGTAGATTTTTGTAGGCTGCTAGAAGTTTTTAAATTAAAGAATTTCACTCAACCAGAAGATATGAAATCTACTCATACTACCCATTTGTTAATGTTTTGTTTCTATTTAGTTATATTCTGGCAGCCTGAAACCTTTGTGTGGTTTTTTTTGTGGAAATGTTCTCTTCTTGTGACAGAACTTGAACTCCTTTTATCTTAGTTATCCCACACAGTTGAGTGTCGGACACATTTAATGTTTTCCCAATACCAGTGCTAGCCTCATCTAGGCTATGCTCTGCTAAAATGTTAGACGAAAGAATGCTACTGACTTTCAGGAAGAATCTTGATAAAACTGCTAGGCTTTCTGTCTTATATTCAGCCCTTCAGCACTCGAGGATGAGGAGGAAGAAGACGGACACACTGTTGTAGCCACAGCAAGAGGTGTATTTAACAGCAATGGTGGTGTACTGAGCTCCATAGAGACTGGAGTTAGTATTATTATACCACAAGGAGCCATTCCAGAGGGAATAGAGCAAGAAATATATTTCAAAGTCTGCAGAGACAACAGTATACTTCCACCTTTGGACAAAGAGAAGGGTAAGAGCTGGTCCTGTACACTGTTTTGTCATTTAATAAAATTATTTTTAACAAAAGAAAAATAGAATATGGAAGAAACCCAGTATATAGTATATAATACAGAAAATCTGTTTCTGTATGAAGATGCAGAGTATACATCTCACAAGAAGTATAAAGGAAGCGATACTCTGTCTAGTACTTGAAGTTGGAGGCCCTCAATTATTACTTGAAAACATTTAATTTGTAGTCTTTAAGTACGTGCAAAAAAAGTTAGGTAAAACTTCGTCCACTAAAGGAAGGTTCTAAACTATTTTTAGGAATCTTTGATGGTTTAGATCACCTTACAAGGTGTAGGGATTTGTTTTAGGCATTCTTGTTAGAGATATTTCTTCATCTCAGGACCAAAAGAATTCTAAAACAGATGAATTAAACTCATTTGATTAGAGTTAAATATTTGGAATTTACTTCTGCACTTAAATGTACTTAGCATTTTAATATTTTTCAACTTTACTGAAGAAAACAGCTTCATGGTTTAAAAAAAATACTCTTATATAATTATGTTCCTGACTATCTTATTATATGGGTTGACTATTGTATCTTAGTTTACCGATTTCTTCAAAGCAAGTCTTGTCTTTGATAATACTAGTCCAGCGTGCGTGCATTCTCTGAACTGTCCAAATTCCCACAAGTCAAGAAGCAAAAGGGGTTAATGTCATAAATTTGCAGGTAGAACATTACTTGCATAGCATGTGGCTCAACTCGATCATCTTTCATTACCATTGGAGTTCTAAAGTAGACCTGTGTTGATATGTTTTGTCTTTTGTCTGTTAGGTTAAGGGTCATAGGCTCCTGAGCTGCTCAAGGCTTTATTCAGCCCAGTGTGCCATAAATTCAGACAAGCAGAACATCACAGCTGTGGTGCAAGGAGAAGCATCAGCAAGGCTGTTTATAGATTTGGGGATTTGTTTTTTGATATACCTTCTTAAAAACTAGTGGCAAAAAAATAAATCCAAACATTACTTGCCACTTGTTTATCCTTTTTCGTTTTGAGCTGTTGATAAATTCCATTGAAAAGTCACTGGAGTGCTCTGAAAGAGGCTATGAGAAGCAGTCTTGCTAGGTTACTGATAGGTGGAAAGGCTTGGATTTTTCTTTGAAACTAAATTGCTAAGTAACTCTGCAATGAAATTATGTAATGCTTTGAACCAATTTCAGGAAGAATTAGTAACAGGTTTTTCTTTCTCTTAACTGTAGGTGAAACGCTTCTTAGCCCCTTGGTAATGTGTGGGCCACATGGACTAAAATTCCTGAAGCCAGTGGAGCTGCGCCTGCCACATTGTGCGTCTATGACCCCTGATGGTTGGTCTTTTGCTCTAAAATCCTCCGACTCCTCGTCGGGTATGCTGTCCTCCCTCTGTCCTTTTGGGGCTTTTGGGTGCTATCGTATAATTTAAGTTAATTTGGCTAAAGGTGATGCTGTGTAATATAAAGAATTCAATCATTGTATTTGTGTCAAACTCTCCCATTTCACTTTCATTACAAATGTCTTTCTTACATTTACTCACGGTGCAAATTCATAGCTAAAGCCATGATAGGAGAAAAAGAGTAATATCTTTAGTCTATTAAATATTATAGTATTTTTCTATTCTGTCTTCTTTCTTGAGGACTGCTACAGCTGAATACACTTGAAATGATAGTCGCACTAAAATTGAGAGGAAATGACTATGTACCTCTGATTGGCCTTTGTAACATAACTGGTGTTTGTCTGTTGCTTAATTAACCATATAGGACTCTGACAAATCTTAACAATTTGCATGCTCATAAATCATGATTTATCGCTTGTTAACTGTTTCCATGTGTGCAAGTTGACGCTAACAATTGGGTCATTTAAGAAAACTATAGTGTTCAGTAAAAGCATTTACAATTCATTCTAATGTAGCTGGATTTTCCACGAGACTTTTCTTGCTTGCTTCTGCCTGTTTCTTCTCTACCACCTTTTACCCAGAAGTCTCTGGTGGATAGTAAAAGTTGCAACTAGATTGCAGTTTTATTTACCTGTTCATCTTTACCTCACTGTGGCTTTCTGGAATGAGAGGGAGAATGTATTGGCTTGAAATTGTCAGTGAGGAGCCTAATTTGATAATTCTGGGCAAGTTTCAAGCAATTTCATGAAATGGCTGTGAAGTTACAGATATTTTTGAAAGGAATGTTTGCACATCTGGGGAAAAAAGTCTTAAGGTTATGTTCAGCTACCTTCAAAATTTATGGTGGAAAGTCCAAACCATGAATGTGTACGTATGATTGAAGTCACGACTGAGCGATGTACTTCTGTATACAGCATCTAAGTGTATGCATATCTTCTGTCACTAATGTATCTATCACTGTCAACACCAAAGCACTGATGCTTTGAAAGGTTAAAGCATCAACCCCCTTGATGGGGATTCAATAACCTAGAGGTATTAATGGCAATAATTTTTAGTTGGTTTTTATAAGCTATTATATGCATGTGTTGCATGCATCTATTTAACAATGTGTGTAAACATGGCAGTGTTAAAACAGACTCATATATGATAGGGTCCCAAAAGGTATGACAACTATGTACAAAAATGACACAACCCTTCCTTTGTAACTAGTAGCACCCGTTCATGAACTTACTTGAGATGAAGGAGAGGACTCAAATGATCTGAAAACTGACTGAAGTTACTGAGACATTTTTCTCTCTTTCCAAAGCAGGATGTGTGTGTGCGTGCATGTGTGGGTGAAAGCAAGAGCGTGTATATTTAAACCCTAACACTTTCTGTACTGTAAATATAACACCACATTCTGTTAATCTGAAATGGGATGTATATCATAACATTGCTCTTTTGAGACAAACTTAAAAATTAGGCAATTCTGTCTTATGATATGTAAGTAGACCATACTGTGTCTTAAATAAATAATTGTTTTCTCTCTTTCTAAATTAGTTGGTTATGGGACTCTGATTTTTGAGGTGACTTTATAATAACAATTTATACAATTCTGGGTATTTTCCTCTCTTCAGTCGTCTGCTCTACCTCATCTTTTCTCAATGTATCCATGTTCTGTCCTAAAATTGACATTCATTTGCACTTACTAACATCTGTTCTGCCACATTTAAGCCCCGTATATTAATATTTTACTGCTAAACCTCTTGAAAAGCTTGAATGATTCTGGTATTAAAATGCTCAGGGGAAAAAAGTTGCCTCTTAATGGCCACACCTATTAGAAAGTATTAGTAAAAAATACTGAAGGATTTCTTTTTTAAAGCAGTTGTATGTAAGTATGGGAAGAACATCCTCAACAGCTAGAGGCTGCACTGACTACAGCCTGATCCTTGCTATGTATTTAGGAGGAAAGGCTGGAAAAAGTCTGCCAATGTCACATGTGCAAGACTAGGACCTGGTTGTCCTACAGTTCTGTTTTACCTTTCTCCTGATATATTTGATAATATGAGTTTTGAATGGAATTCCTGCTTCTATAAAATGAAAAATCATCCAGCATTGTTGAGCTTCTTGACTGAAATAAGTAGTCTTGGCTGTTTGCCGTGAACTTGTTTGCATTCTCTAACTATACACTGGCCACTTCTATGCTCTGTCACTACATCAGATGTTGCCATCACTCAGTGCATTGTGTACTTCATTTTGTTTTCATGAGTTCCAGAAATTACATGGAATTTCCATTCTCAGGTGTTTGCAGTCTGTGTGACTGGGCTCTCTCACTTGTTGCACGTATTTCAAGGCAGATATGTTTTGGCCAAGCTATTTATCTGGAAGGCTTAAGAGCACCCAGTGCATTTTACACTGTTCTGCTGTGTAGTGGGATGGTGACACTTTGTGCACAGTGGCAGCATTTAGTAGTAGTTTCAGGTTGGTAAATGAATAATACTTTCTCCTGTTGAAAGAGATAACTGCAGATGGAATGTAACCTTTATGAGGCAAGATGGCAGCTGATGACTTTCCCTGTAACAGAATGTTACACAGGGCCTTTGACCATGAGTAGATAAGATCTGTTGTAAAGATTTTTAAAGTATGTACTAGTTAACTAGAATAACTTTTTAGAATATCAGTATTTCAGGCTTTTAAATAAGGATACAGAATGTAGCTGCAAAATTACTACCATTGTGTCTACAGTAATTTTCATAATAGAAAATAAATCTACCTGTGTGCTATAGTGTTTACTTACAATGTAACTTCTGATTTGACTCCTCTGTGTTCAAATCTGTTCCGAGAAACTTCAAATGCATCCTACCCAGATTAGTTTTTAAAATGTGTGATTTTTTTTCCTGACAGTGTAGAAAAGAGCCAGTGAATAATTGATTCACTGTGAACAGTTCTCAAAGGGAAAGTGCTGTGTTGGTGCTATAGAGTAGAATGGCTTATCCTTAACAACAGTGCCTGTGTGCCACAGAGATATGTTTCTAATAACTGATCTATCCTACAGTAAATTAAAATAGAGGGCTATGTTTTTAGTAACAAAAAAAAATGTAGATGTTTTTTTTAAACAAACAAACAAGACCCAAAACCAAAACCAAACAGATGTTGATTCAGAACTTAGGAGCTCCTGTCCAAAAGCTTGGTTGTTTCAAGATGTACACTGTTTGACAGCAGATACTAAACACCAGCATTGTGTTTTCCTCCCACAGGTGACCCCAAAACCTGGCAGAACAAGTCTCTTCCCGGGGATCCAAACTATCTTGTTGGAGCAAACTGTGTCTCAGTCCTAATTGACCACTTCTAAATAATAAGTTAGCTGACTGAGTAAATAATGTGAAACTGAGATGGACCTTACATATAAACTGAACCACTCTATCAAGTATTAACTGTTCTATAAGTGATAATGGACCTTAGTGTTTAAGCATCTTGCTTTAACTAACAATGGTTTAGCAAGTACACTCTTTGAACCATGGTCACAGTACATGCCACAAGCAGGGAGTGTACAGTGGGAACAAGGTAGGGGTTTTGCAGGTTCTCTATGCTTTGGTTTGTTGTTCTTTTGTGGTTTTTTGTTTTGTTTCGGTTTTGGTTTTTTTTTTTTGTTTGGGTTTGTTTTTTTTTTTTAGGACACTACTAGTATTTGTTTAAAATCTGAAAGTACCAATGGAACTGAATTGGGAATTCAGCGGAACTGAATTGGGTTTGTGCTCCACTGGCGAAAACACTGAATTTGGCCTGCATTTTTATGACTGTGTGTTTGTATCTCACAAGACTGTTTTGGTCTCTAGTTTTTAAATGACTTACGGTATTCGTGTCCAACGACATGGCAATCAAGTTGGGGTAGCACAGTTTAGATGTTTTCCTCTGCTGAGAGGCTAATGCAAACACATCTACTTACTGTATATGGAAACATTGTCATGAGAAAGGGGGGAGGGGGAAAAGCATGTGGGATGACTATGGTTCAGTTGCCTCTGTGGATTTGTAAATTAGCCACATAATTACAGACCTATTAACCAGCAGGGATGCCTTACCCTCATGTTTTTAATAGTCTTAGCTCTCATAGTTCTCTGTATTAAGTTTGTATGGCTTTTGTGCTTACCTAGATAATATATAGTGAGAGACTGGGGAAAGAGGAAAAAAAACAACACTAAAACAAACAAACAAAAAACAAACACAAAACACTTGTGAGTTTGGTTTAGAGAGAGTATTGTTTCTGTTCATCAGCCTGAAGAGAACCAGAAGAAAATGATGGTATGTTTTCTGCTATGCATTTGAAAATTTATAGATGTTATAGACTGCTTGTATATAATGCGTGCATACCACTTTTGTTCTTGGTTTGTAAATTAACTTTTATAAGCTTTACCTTTTTATATATATAAATATATATAAAAACAAACAAAGTTTCTTAAGGATATCTTTGTATTCTCATACCTTTTGAGCCTTGAACTTTGACATCTGCAGCAATAAAGCAGCATTTCTACAATATATGAACATGGACATTTTTTAAAAATGCACAAAGTTGTTACCTTTTTAAGTGCTGCATTTAAAGAATATAACTCGGAATTCTCTACTTTGATTAAATTCTTGAAAAGTATCCCTACTGTAATTTGTCATAAGGATGCTGTACTATGTGCCCTGAAATGTATTTTTTTACTAATAGACAATTTATTACGGCACAATGGCACTACTACTGTTTAGATAATATACCACTGCATTCTGTTAATGAGTTATTAGCTATTCAGGTGTGGCTGATTTTTTTCTCTGCAGTTATTAAAATTACAAGTTTCTAAATATACAGAATAAAACTGTTTTTAAAATAATAAAGGAGATTGTAGTACCTTTTTGTTTCTGAAATGCATTTATGTGAACATGAACACATGTATTTTGAAATTTTTTTTCTGTGTAAGTAGACAGCTGGGTTCTGCCATATGTTCATACAAGAAGCAGAGCTCTGTTGTGGAGTCAGTTGGAGTTGTCTGCAGCAGGGCTTCTGAAATGATGAACTCCCGTGTGGATCCATTGGAAATGCTCAATACAAGTAGGAGTGCTAGATTTGTCCCTTGAGTCACTATGTTGGTGCTAGGTTACTTATTATACCTGCTCTTCCCAATACTTCAGTAGTGTTCTAGCACATAGATTTACGTATAATCTAGTTATAATTTTGAAGATGTTCCTACAGAATCCCATTATCAGGCCTCCTTGGAGTACTCAGTGGCTAACTAGTAAGCTACTGTTATTCTGTAAGAGAAAATAATTTCTAAAAGTTGTTTTGAAATAGTGCTGCAAAACAGAGCTTATCACTGATGTTTCCTTTTGTGCTATTACTGACCAGTTAGTTTGTTTCTCAGACACAACTTGACCTGGAAGATGCATTCACTGCTGTTACTACTACTCCGTAAGGCTTTTCTTGACTCCAAGGGCAGGCAGAAAATTGGAATACCAAAACCTTTTCATATTGGGGTGGCATTTTTAATTTGCCTTAGTGATAATATCTTGGTGGTAATTTTTTGAATCGGCAGAAAGGAAGGTTTCAAATGGCATGAAAAGCATCTTGGTGTATATCCTAATGCTGAAATTTCAGAGTTCAGAACTTGGTAAGATGTATGTGGAACACTACAAAACAAGTCAGTCAGATGAACTAGAGGAGCCCTGGAGTTACACTGCATGGATTTTTGGCAGTGGTGTCACTTGTGTCTTGGATATCCTGAGTCTGGCATGGTGTAAGGTGTAACTGCTGGGTTGCTTTGACTATAGTGACCCAGGTGATACTATTTATGCTCTTCTCTTACAAGACAGTAGGGCTATGTCAGTCTATCCAAATGGGGAAAAAGTGTCATCTTCTGCTCTGCTGTCGTTTCATAAATTAAATGAGAAAGTTGATGCTGTTAAAAAAACGTGGCAATTCTCTGCTGCTGAGCAGCCTGACATTGGAATTGTCTTGCTGTCTACCTGAAGGAGTGTTTATCATAGCAGCTAATTTAAATCACATGCATATTTTCCTTGTCCTTAAATCCCAGTGCTTTTGAATTAAGACATGGCCATTGAGAATAACTGCTAAAATAATACATTTTCTTATTTTAAAATACCAGTGCTTTTGAAATCTATCCTTGCAAGAAATTACATTCCTTACAGTTTTTATAAAGGTTAGGCTCTGCAGGAGGTAAGTTCACTTGTAATACTTAATTTATTATAGTTCTCTATTGGCTAATTATTGTGAACTTCATAAATTGCATCTCTCAGTTCTTCCTGTTTGTCTCAGCATTGTACTGGCCAGCTGTGGTCCTGCAAAAATTGTGTATTTATTTCAGTAATGTAAATCTCAAGTCTTGTGCTCTTTTCTAAACAAATGGCTTCAATGGTTGAAACACTCAATGGATACAGAATTACTGCTCATTTCTCTGACTTAGGTTCTTCATGTTTTTTTTATAAGTAGTGAGTATTCAACTACACATACACAAGTTATGGTTGTGAATGTACTTCTCTGTTCCTGCCAACATGGTTTAGGTGAAAAAAATCAGCAATGTTTAGGGTCTGACTGAAAATTCTCTGCTGTAATGTAACCTGGACCATGGTGACAGAAATCAAAGCCATACCGGTTTGGAGATTAAAAGACTCTTAGCACATTTGATTAATGTTTTCCTAGTATCTAAGTCACTTATCAGGAGAGTGTGTGTAGAAGCCTTACTGAGTGCTGGTGGTGGTCTGTTGTGTATGGGGTTCTCTGGCAACTAGCTCCATCCGTTGGCAAGATCAAATAAATGGGCAAAATTATTTTTCACTATTTCTACATGAACTGTGCATTGCAACATGTAATCAAGCATTTGAGAATAAATACATTTAGTATTAGTGAAAGTATATGAAGCTGGCAGTTTGTACACACACATGTGGACATGAATATTATTATATTTTTCTATTAGCTTTGATACTGTGGACTACTCAACTCTGTGCTAGACAGTTATCATTCTGATGATTCTAAAATAATGATGCTATTATTGAATTGTACTTGAAATCCAGTTCTGACAAAGATTGTTGGGAAGCAATGCTGCTGTCCTAGTTACCTTAATAAAATTTGCAATACTAACAGATCATTTCAGGTTGTGAAACACATACATCTTTCTCGTCAGTGATTTTAAGTAGTAACAGTTCTTACTGTGTAAGACACAGAGAGCAGAACCTCTGTGTCTGCAAGTTCAGTTGTCTTATTTTGTTACTGCAGGAGTAATAAAGGAGTCCACAAGTGAAGAAAGAGAAAACATACAGTTTCATGTGATGTGCATCTAGAATTCCCACCGTGTGAACTTTGGGAAGAGACCACAATGTACAATTTATGTTTAGAATGACAGATTTTAGGTTAACTTTGTCAGTTGTTAATTCACTAATGCCGAATCTGAGTTGGCTCTAATCTGCCCTGTGACAATATATGTGAATTTTCCCATAGAAGTTTATGCAGCACTAACTGCCTGTCACTCCTTATCTCTGGCATTGACAAAGTGACAGTGGAAGAGTGAAGACAAGTGCAAAATGTCCAACTGTTCCCTTGGCCTGGAGAGGCTGCCAGGAAGGTGGGTTTGGTGTCTGTCACTATTACTGGGTGGTGACAAAGGAACGGCTGTAGTTTGTGTTACGTAGTTGGACCTTACTGTGTCATCCAGTCCATGTATCTGAGGAGCACCTTGTGGCTTGCTCTTTCTACAGAACTTCCTAAGTCACAAGTATTAACCTCCAGTAGCTTCATCTGGGTTTTTGATTATATATGCCAGTGTTTGGTACCACTACAGACCATTCTCAAACCAAGAGAGTCATGTGTTTTCATTGCCTGCAACAGCCTGCTCCATTTTGTGGTGTTCTCTTGCATTTCTGACTTGATTACTGGTATGTATATGCTGAGTTTATTTTGGGGCAGGGGAGGGCAGCCAGGTGGATGAATGACAGACATGAGGGACAGGCCTTCTGCTCACATTGGGACAGCTGAAATATGAGTACTGGACAGAGTCTCAGAGGTTAGTTTCTGTAAAATATTGCTGCTGCTGCTGCAATTACCTATATTCAGGAGTCTGATAGTTTCTCAATGTGATGAAATCTGCTGAACATTGTTGCTACTCTCAGGTTAGTTGAGGGAGGTGATGGCAGACAGGAGCTCTTACCTTAAGTAAAGTCTGGGGAGAGGGCAGCTGGGCAGATACAGAAGTGTGGGATCACATTAGTTTTATTCATATTACTTGAATAGACTGGAAAAACTTCCATAAAACCTAAAGATAACATCTTTAGAGCAGTCAAACACCCTATGTCTCTGTGTGCACCATGTTCTGTTGCAGCAACTCCTTCCCACTAGAGAAACCTGCAGTTATCTACTTGTTTTCCTGATGCCAACTGTAGCCATGTTCTGAGTGTCCTCTTTATTGACTGTAATAGCAGTTACCTAGACAACTGAAAAACTAGATTCTGAAGGAAATAAACGGTATCTATTAGAGGCTACTAATACTACCTTTTTTATTGGGTGTTATATGCATTTTAAATTGTTCAATTATTTTTTAAAGAAAAAAACAAGCTTGTTACTTAAATACTTGGCTAATGTGCCTTGTCTTTACAGTGTTCTGCAGCACTTGTCCATTTTATGCAAAAGC